AAGTTGCATTTAAAATTTCAGGTTCACTCATGTTATATGGAAAAGGAATACTAAACACAGGGTTCAGAAAACTTTGGTTCTGGCCCCACTTCTGCAAGGAGTTAGATGAAAACTATATGGATCTGTTGTTTTCACTGGTAAACTAAGACTGGCATTTCTGTAAAACCTCTTTGAGCTTTGCACTACGCAGTGTGTCGCAATTCAAAATTAAAGAGTAAACTAGCACCACCTAGTGGAACTAAAGGAATTCACTACAAAATAGTGAAAAACATTTCTACCAAAAAAAAAAAAATCCAGAAATTTATTTTACTTCATCTTTTCCCTAAAATAAAAGACATTTGTTCACAAGAATATACATAGGCATATCATGGTAATCAAGCCTATGTGAAAATGTCACATTATTTTGGTCTTTGTACTTCTAAGACTAGTGTCATTTTTCAAAGCAGCATTATTCAAAAATAAAGCAGGAACAAAAAACTAAAATACTTGCAACTTCTGCTCATTTAAAATAATTTCTAGAAATATGTCACCTGAAATTTAAAAATTAAAATAATTGATTGCTGACTTTAAAAATACTTTTCCAGATTAAAGTTTTCTTATCAGGGACAGAAACTTTGTGAATAAGAACAATACCATTATTTTTCCATATGTCACATCATTTATTTTCATTTTTTAGTTAATACCCAACAAGTCAAATATAGCAATTTACTCCCATTACAGTTTATGCATATATCTTTAGGGTATATGGTGGATGAAAGTCAGGATACTTACCTTTCGTTGTTTATTGTTGCAACCCCAGTAATATTCCACTCTGTATTCCAGTGCCTGGAAAAGACTCATTACCTAGTGGCTACTCAATAAATTTTTTCATTAATAAATTTATTAGTGATGGCTAATAACTAACGAAAAGTTAATGATTTTGTGCATTCAAAATATACAAGGATAAGGGCCTCTCTTAACTTAAAGCAGTTAAGTCTCAGCCCTATGAAGCTATCAGCAGCTACTGCAGCACGAGCTCAGTTCAGGCCAGGGAGCTGACCCGCATGAGCTCAGTTCAGGCCAGGGAGCTGACCCGCATGAGCTCAGTTCAGGCCAGGGAGCTGACCCGCATGAGCTCAGTTCAGGCCAGGGAGCTGACCCACATGGCACAGCAGATCTCTCCTAACTAGTCTGCTGCTCCCTTCAGCAGCATAGTTCAGTCAATCTGTCTGTTCTCTTCTCCACTCTGTCTCTGGTGAATCCTCCCACACTTCTGGCCTGTACCCCAGTTCTTGTATGCATAAATTAATAAATCTTAAAAAAATAAAGGCAGTAACAAAGATATACTATTCACTTTATAATTTATAGAATTAAATTTTGAACTATTTTGTTTAAAAATATATTTAACATTGTGTTTTGATTTCTACAATTAAGCACTTTTATAAGAATATTTTTAATGAATAAGTAAATCATAACAAATTGCAAATTTAAAAAGACGATCATAAGATCCAGTGAAATAATATTTTTATTAATAAAATAGTGACATATCTTAGGATATTGCTATACTTCTGATGGTATAATCTTTTATTGTCCATATTGTCCATTCATATAACAATACTTTAACGCAATTTTTTTTTAAATATTTACATTTTTTTTTTTTAGATTTATTTATTTGTGCATACAGAACTGGGGTACAGGCCAGAGACGCGGAGGGTGAGAGGATTCATCAGAGACAGAGTGGGGAGCAGAACAGGCAGATGGACAAAGTACAGTGCTGAGGGGAGCAGCGGGCGGGTCAGGAGAGGTCTGCCACGCCATGGGGTCACCTCCGGGGCAGGCGGGAATCGAACTCATGCGGAAGCGGCTTCAGATTCTCAGTGCTGTGCTTTAACCCGCTGCACCACCAGGGAGGGCCACTTTAACACAATTTTAATAGAAATATCGAGATAATCCAATCTTTCTTTTAACTTGGTTGATTATTTATAATTGAAATGCATAAAAGATGCATAAAATAGCTGCATTTGTGGCTTATAGACTATGACAGGGTTGTGCCTGCAAAATATCGTAATACTGTCTTGCATCACTGTTAACATAAAAAAAAAATCTACAGCTCACTGACAATTATACACATGGGATATAGAGTACATTATTTTTCACATTAAATATATTTATTACTAATTGAGATAGTATTAGGCTACCTCCATCAGGGATTGTCAACATAGTGCACTCATTACCAAATCAGCCGAAGTCTATCACCACAGTCGACTGTGCTTCCTTTCCTCTTTGTTCTCACCAACCCTCCCTGCCTCCTTCAGCTCTCTAGTCAGCTTTCAAAAGTCAGTTTTTAAGCATATTTTCATCTGATTTAGTTTAATTGTTCTATATGGAATACATTCTTAAAAAAGGAATTCATTTTTTCTCCATACAGATCTGGGGTACAGGACAGAGGTGCAGGGGCAGGGAAGGGTGAGAGAGAATTCACCAGAGATATAGTAGGGAACAGAACAGGCAGAGTGACTGAAACACACTAAGGGGAGCAGCAGGCAGGTCAGAAGAGATCTGCCACACCATGTGGGTCCCTTCCCTGGCCAGGGCTGGAATTCCTGCTGTAGTGGCTTCTGACAGCTCCCTGAACCACCAGGGAGGGCCCTAGAATACAATCTTAGTAAGAGAAAACTTTTTTGATTCAATGTCCTCTAACAACTATAATTAGTAATAATAGTTACTGTATTTCCATTTTGTAATTTTTTTTTTTTAAGGTAACACTGGTTTACAACAATGTGTAGGATTCAGAAACAAAGGATCCCACCTTTCAGGTCAGTCACTACACAACACCTACCATCAAGATTCCCACAGTCCTCCAACATAGTGCACTGTATTTAATTAGAATGGAAGACATTCAGCAAAATGAATTAAAAATGAATTTTCTTAAAGAGATAAACACTCATTATTCTCACTCACTTAAGCTCATAGAAAATCAAATAAGTGAATTAATATTTTTCAATTAGAGCTAGCATTACATATTTACAACTGTAATAACTACAGGCTACTAAGAATTGGGAGCAATGTAAACTTGAACTACAAATGTAAGTATTACTTCCAATTTTATTTCATCCCCCTAAAAAATATTATAGCACAAAATAACTTATTAACTTATAAATATACATCTATCTTTGTGCCCTTTCATAAGAGTTCTTAGCATCAATCTATCATTGAGAGACAAAAATCTTATGCTTTTCACTTAGCTCAACCAGAATCTCTTGTTCATGAAGATGAAAAACAGACTCCAGAACAAACTCCAAATGGTCGTCAGAAAATTTACTCGCTCATGTATACTCTTCTCACACTCAATAAATACAGTGTTTTCATTGTATTGAACAGACAGCAAAGACATTTTTTACTTTGTTTGCCCTGTACTACATGGAGATACCTCAGATACATCAATTAATACTATGGCAGTTATCACATAAATCGTGTAGATATCCTAGCCCAGGAAATCTATAGGTTATACAAAAATCCCATACACATTGCTGACAATGGAGATGAAGTAGATGGGAGTTCAGCCATTTCTTCTTGCAAACATTTTTCTTTTTTAAAAGCTGGCTCCAGAGTGTGCCAGTATAGAAGGTATGCTATCAATGAACTTCATTTTAGCAACAACAAAATTATATTTCTATATGCATTTTAAGCTAATTTTTTATTTAAAAAATATTGGCATTTCCATATGAGAGAAGTAATGTATGGTCCCAAAGCAGTCGCCTTAGACACACAGTCTAAAGAATATCATCCATTATATTTTTAGCTCTTTACTTTGGGAGAATGTCCCTCAGAAGGGTTCTGATGGCCCCCTCACACATCCCAAGTCGCACAGCACATACAGAATAATCCAGCTTTTCTGTCTAGGAATTCGCACACTTGACTCACTGTAACCAGGATGAACAAATAACTAAATTAAATACATAACTGAAAAATAGAGAACAACACAGGATATAGAAGAATGCAGAAGAATCTGGTAGTAACAATATATACTAATGGTGGAAATAAAAAATGGGACAACCCATATAAGGAATCTGGTACTATGCTTCCTAAGCACAGCTGCCCTTTGCTCCAACAATAAATATATGCTGCAGGAAATTATGCTAGATTTTGAGATCCTGATGTACAGGACTTTTTAAAAACTAATTTATTTATTTATTTTTTTTTAAAGATTTATTTATCTATTCGTACAGAACTGGGGTACAGGCCAGAGATGCGGAGGGTGAGAAGATTCACCAGAGACAGAGCGGGGAGCAGAACAGGCAGATCGACGAAGTACGCTGCTGAGGGAGCAGTGGGAGGGTCAGGAGAGATCTGCCGCGCCATGTGGTCACCTCTGGGGCAGGCTGGGATCGAACTCATGCGGAAGTGGCTTCAGCTTCTCTGTGCTGTAACCCGCTGCGCCACCAGGGAGGGCCAAAAAAACTAATTTATTTTTATTGAGGTAACAGTGGCTTACATAATTATTCAAAAAAAAACAGGCTATCCATCTACCCCCCCACCTTAGGTATTGCCACTGCAGTGTACCACCACCAAATCCCCAGAGTCCACCACCATAGTCCACTGTTCTCCTTTCTCTTTTTGTCCTTCTTCTCCCACCCCTATCTACCGATAGATGCCTCAGTTTATAGTCAATTTTCAAGGGTCATTTTTTAAAGCTTGTCTTTACCTGACCTTTACCTTGGTTTAATCTATCTTTCACAAGAAATTAACCTAAAGATATGTATGTCTGGTAAAGAATGAAATGAAAAAGCGATCATGTTGTGGCCTTTCTATGAACGCCATGTGGTTTATCTCAGCAAGGGTGTGTGTACTGCCTCTCTATGCACTGGTGTGTGTGTGTGGGATTTGGAAAAGGCTCTCCTGCATGACCACCATAAGACAACAGGCCACATCATGAGGCAGCTGGGGAAGCCTAGGTAGCCATGATTGTGTGGCCATGGTTTGAGGTGGTCTGGCAGTAGCTCAGAAATTACATCAATTACCTGCACAGGAAGTTCTTGCTGTATATGTGGCCAGTAAGTCCCCTTCAGTTCCACATAAAGCTGATTACCCTTTGTCTCCCTTAGACCCTGCGCCTCCCGCTCATGGCCACATAAACAATCACACCTGTTTATTACTGCTAATAAAGAGCAAGAGGGCTGCATGGTGAGCAGCAAAGTCTTGCTCCATAACTCAAGTCTCAGTGTGTCTCCAGGGATATGCCAGCAAGTTCCTGATTCAAGATGTTAAGTATTATGACAAATAAAGAGATTAGAAGCTGCCCAACGTCTATCAACTTAAAAGCAATGGAATAAGCAACAATCCATCCACATAATAAAATGTGGCATCACCCAAAGAACGCTCTGGTAAGTGAAAACAAGCAAGAAAAGAACAATACAAAAAAGATGCTAATGATTATAGGATACAGAAGGTGTTTTCACCCCTTAGGGGATTTTCAAAATTTTAAGCCACTAGTACATTAGTATTGCACCAGAATAAAATTTTTAAACGAGTTCCTGATTTTTTTTTAATGTGGCAAATCTTGAGTATTCACTCCTTAAGTATTATTTAAGTTCTACAAAGTGCCTTGAGAATATCACCATTCATCAAAATTAAAAAGAATAAACCAGGTAGCAAACATGAGATTTTTAGTGTACAACCATCACAAAGGAAATTGTTAAAGTAAGCTTTATCTGAATTGTAGTGGGTAAAGAGGGGACTTGATGATAAGAAGAGACTGTAAAAATTATTTTTCATAATAATCGACAGCAAGAGAAATGGGACTGTGGTAGAGGTACACGGCAAGGGGAACAATTTGACATAAGACAAGTAATAAGTGATGGAGTAAGATCCTCCTGAAAGGTATATTTAAAGAAAACAGAACAGGCTTCAAACAAGAAAAAAACATTTTTGTTGTTGCTGAATTAAGTGAATTATATGGTACGGGGACAGAAATATACAATATTTCAATGATGTACTCTTTAAAAGGAGTAAATAAAATATACTAATACATATATACTGACAGTCCATTATTCTTACCAATTCGAGTGATTTTATTATGTGAAAGTTCAAGGTTTTGAATATTAGTGCAGCCATCCAAACCATGAAGAGAAGTCAGTTGATTTTTATTAAGAAGAATAACACAAAGATTTTCCAAATTTTCACAGTTGATACTCTCAATATGGTTTTCCTAAACAAAAAAACAAATGTAATTACTTTTATACAAAATCTTATTAATGACATAACTAAATCTGCAAAAAGGATGACCTACAATCTCCAAATGAATGCATGAATTTTTATATTTCAGATGCTAATTGCTATACTATCTAGATGAAAATGTAAAGTAACCCAATAAAGAACTACCGGTTATGTATTCATTCATATTTTTTCAAATATTGAAAGAAGAGGATCTTAAAACAAAATATACCAATCTAAAAGAAAAAGAGTGAACATCTGTTCATAGTCCATATAAAATTATTAAAAAAAAATAACGAAAAAGGTGAAATCTCCCAACCTATCTTCAGTTTCCTCTGACCCTTCTTCTCCAAAGAGTACCAAAGTCATAAATTTGGTCTATATTTCAAGGATAAATTTATGTTTTTATTACACACAAAGATGTCCTGTATTTAATACTGAGTGTCAAAATCACATGTCAAGGATAAAACAGCTATTCCTTTTTTTAAGAATTCACAAAAATAAAGGGACTTTATTAGAACTGAAGTGTATAATCCTACAGCATTCCTCTCAAAAATATGAATGAATATACTGTCTACTAGGATAAACTTAATAAGAAGCATAGAACACCCACTAGGAAAGAAAATTGCATTGGTAGCATCACTGTCACTTTGAACTGAAAAGGATATAATTCAATGTGAAAAGGAGCTCCCTAGCCTATCCTCCAATCCCTCAATTTTCTGAGAAAAGTTCTCAGCTTCAAAAGAGGCTGAGAAAAATTCTGAGCTTCAAAACAGGGAATTCGTTATGGAAAAGTATGCCTTGAGGATGGAGTCAAAAACCCAATGGGCAGAACCAAGAGTAACAGAAAATCATTCTTAGGAAGCAGAACTCAGTCCCTATTAAGGAAGAGATGATGCTTAGCTGAGGCCAGGGACTGCTATGAGCTTCTTGTTTTCTCCCAAGTTGAATAGGAATGCCTACTAATAGGAACATGGTTGGCTAAGTCCTGTCACACCATGCTATGTTGGTGTGTGGGGAGATGGCACAGGAAAGGTAACATTACATTTTACTTTATAGATATCTGAGAGAAAGCTACATGAACAGATTAACTCCATTTGGGTGGTTAAATGACAAGATTCTGTGCTTCAAGTCTGAGCCTGATTTCATAAGTTCATGAAGCTTCTGAATATTTAGGAGATGAGTACATTTTTGATGTGGAAAGGATGTGCATCACGGGGAGCCAGAGTGTAGACTGCTAATGCCCAATAAACCTCACAGTCCAATATTCACACAAGTTTACAGGCCCCTCCCACATGAATTCAAGGTTTGGCTGACAGAAAACTAGCTAACATAAGGGCAAACAGATGCTCGATAAGCACTTTCATTTAGGGGTTATCATTTCAGCAAGCCCACTCTTCGGATATGACTTACTATTCAAGAACAAGAAAGAGCATGAAAGAGACAGTGAGAGAGGGAGGTGGCGGGGACAGAGAGACAGAGAGACAGACTGAATTTCTAACCTCCCAAGGCACCAAGTAGATGAGAAAATGTACATAAAAACAAACAAACAAAAAAAACAAAACAAGGTCAGCATAATATGAAGCAAAAGAAAAGCCTGGCCTTAATTTATGGCCCACAGAATTGTGAGTAAATGAAATGCTGATTGTTTTAATTAAGTAAAGTGGTCATTTGTTATGCACCGGAAAACAACAAAAACAGTAGTGCCATTATCTGCAGATAACTGGTGCCAGTTTGTACCACCTAATCATCCTCCCTCTGATAATCTTCCCCTTCTGGTTCTCTTAAGTTTTTGTCCTTCACCTTTTTAAGATCTTGAGTTACATAGCTCATTTTAGTAAATTTTCCTCAAAGTTGTCAATCTCCTACACATAAACAGGTATCTGTACTTTAAGGTAAATGAGGCTGGAACAGAGTGGGTAAAGGGCAAAGGAGGGAGGGGACCACTTGACTATGGTGGAGATGCAGGGGTGCCTCAGTGGAGCACGTGGGGTAACGGCTTAAGAGGTGGAGTTATACCTACCTCTGAAGCTATGCAGTGCTGTCAACCAAAATTACCTTAGTTGAAAAATAATACAATAAAAAGAGGACATACCTGTGCATCAATATACTTCAGTTTTTTACAGTTATTCAGGCTGTGTAAATGAGTTAATCCACAGCGTTGAAGAGACAGAAACTGAAGATTTGTACACTCGGCCAGTGTGGAAAGATTACAACCTGGCAAATCTTGAAATGTAACTGCTGTAACCTAGAGAAATTAAGATACTACAGTATATAATATTATCTAACAAAAATGAACTTAAACACTATTAGACTTACAAAATTATTTAACAAATTCATCTAGGGAAAGTCATTCTACAACTTGAAACCCACATTATTAACAATTCTATTTCATTTAAGCTATATGATTTTTTTTTCAATAGGAAGGCAAAATAATGTAATTACTGACAACTAAGTCAAGTCTAAAAGTGATATGCATAGAAATAGAAATATGCCCACTTATTTCATGGTTTTCCATCAAATCCATTTCTTTTTTTTTTTTTTTTCATTTTCTTGGCAATTTTGTTTTCAGGATTGCACTATATAAATGTTTAAGATCTTTGTGTGACAGTATCCTAAGGATACCTGGACATACCCAGGAAGCATAATGTGTGGGAATAGATTTTTGTATGCAACCTACTATACTTCAATTAGAGTAGCTCAGTTATCTTCCAAGAAAGAAACAGCTTGAGAAGAAATATTATAAAATATTTAATGAATAGGCCCACACAATAATATTTTGGTCACATGATGCAAACAATATTCTAAGTTTTTGCATTATAAATGCATCAATTATCCTTTACTACCGAATAATGAATATATCCAGAGTATTTTAAGTATCAGGGAAAAAAACATGAACAATTTTTCTGCATTTTTCATACACTTTAAAGACCAAACATTTACAATATTTTTTTATTATGATATAGTATTATGGACACATCAGGAAGCTTTTTTAAGGAACTTTTCTTTTCGTTTTTTTTTTTTTTTGAACAAAGAAAATTCAATGTCAATGAATGTATTTAATTTTATAGTACTAAGACCTACACTAACAGGTCTACAAAAATAAGTAAGAAGACAGAAATATTTTAAGACTACTGAAAAGCACTACACTGTTAATGCAAGATCTCCCACCTAAAAAATTTGTGCAGGAATAAAACAGTAATAAGTTGGTCCTTTACTATAATTGAGTCCATGCACTGAAATAAACTATATATGCTAAATCATGTTATAGCAAGAAAACTCATATTACCACATCAAAAGTCTTAATATCAGGTTTCCCTTGTATTGAATAACCATTTAAAATATTGGCTTTATAGAAAGGGTGTAGTATACATCATTCAAAACAGAATTTCCATAAATGTTCTATTGAAATTGAAGATTCCTTCAGAATAAGTTGGAAAAGTATAAAATTCTTAAGTGCGGTAACTCCTCTTTATATGGAACATTTCCTGTGTATTAAATTAAGCCAAGAGTTTTAAATTTACATATTTATTTAAGTGAATGGGAAGACCATATGTTCATGGAGATATAAAGAAGGGATTTAGTCAACTCCTTGATTTAAGTAACAAACACAATAATCAATATTTTTAAAGCTTCAGGTAAATAAGTTTGTAGTTTCATAATTATTTTAGGAATTTATCAATTATTCATATTCTACAACAACTCTTCCAACATGTATTTTTTAGAACCTTTCAGAAAGAAAAATATCCATCCATTTCAGTTGAGATAACTTCTGTGTGATAGCCATTTAACTTTTCTGCAAAGAGATGCCATAAATTCTGTAGTTGGAAAACTTTTGCTCTTTACTAAAAAATGAACATGTAGAGTCAAGCACTTAAAAACCACAGCTTATGGGCCCTCCCTGGTGGCACAGCGGGTTAAAACACAGCACTGAGAATCGAAAGCCACTTCCGCATGAGTTCGATCCCGCCTGCCCCGGAGGTGACCACGTGGCGTGGCAGACCTCTCCTGACCCGCCCGCTGCTCCCCTCAGCAGTGTACTTCGTTGATCTGCCTGTTCTGTTCCCCGCTCTGTCTCCGGTGAAGCCTCTTACGGCCCCTGAGCCTCTGGCCTGTACCCCAGTTCTATATGCACAAATAAATAAATCTTAAAAAAAAAAAAACAAACAAAAAAACCCCACAGCTTATGACAACAAAAACTACACTATCCTATAATATATTATTGCTCCTGTTTTAAATCTATGTTGATAAAATCAACTACAAAAGCATAATTAAGTTCTAATGATGTGACAATTTCCACATTTGTGAGTGTGTGTATGTACACATGTGAGTCTTGTGGATTCACTTATTGCTTTGGGGTATGGTATCCCTAAATAGATGTCTGCTAACTTAAAATATATGCATTATATTTATAGAATATATCTTTTAGAGAGGAAACAAAAATTTCTCATTCTTTTCATAAAAATCTGGTAGGTCACTTATGTATTTGAACAGTTAAACACATCAGTGCCTATTTTTCTCCTTCAGAAAGATGTTTGAAGATTGGAACGCAATCACAATCTTAAGAGTGTTCACCACCAAACCAGTATCAATATTTGAATATGAGGAACTTCATAATATCTCTTCCTCCCTTTTATTAAACATTTAAAAATATTCTTATATATAGTATTTCCCCCTATTTTAGTTTTTTTACAAGAATGAGATCAAAATAAATTCTCTATTAAGTATTATTGATAAATACATGAAATTAATCACATAAACAAAACTGTTTTATAGTCCCAAAAGGACAATATAGAATTTGTGCTCATGAAAGTTCATCAACGCATGATTAGCTATAGTGCTCATAGTTTCTTCCCCTTATAAAGAATAATATAAAATTATTTTAAAAATATTATTATGCACACTTACCAGATGTGAAAATGAACCACTCCACTTACAGAATCTATGATTCATTCATTACATTTTAATAAAAGATCAAAAATCATTGATATACATAATCATTTATTTCCCCAAATCCTTACCAGCTATTTATATTATAATATGACCTAAAATAGCAATACAGTTTTAGAGAAGTTCCTTAATTATCCTTGACCTCAATGCAAAGTGAGCCAGTCATCTATTGTAAACTGTAATTATAAAAGTAACAAGAGTAGTGGCTGCGTTTCCCTTTTTTGCCAAACATCTGTTCAGTGCCACAATATTAAATCTCTACAATCCAGAGAAATAATATTGCTTTAAAAATCACTGCAAGGAGACTGAATCTGAGGTCTTATTAGTGGCTTAAAATAAAAAGAATCTGAATTCAAGGGAGTCATATTCCATCACACCACCAGTGTACTATACTTGCCTTCCAATCTAAGAGAAATCAGCAGCTTCAATGTCATTCAGGCCATCTATCTTAATCAAGATTAGTACCACCTTTTGTATTTGTTCTTTAAAGTAAGTTACCCTTAGTAGTAAGATATCATAAAAAATGGATTAATGTTTTAACATTAAAACCAGGAAAAATATATTAGCTATCAATAATCATTTTTCTTCAGTTACATCTGTTTGTGATATTATTATATGTAGTATATGGTATACCTATCTTCTGTTTTACAATTCTTTGGTAAAACAGGCTATTGAGGAAAGCCTTCAAAATACCATTTTTTTTTTTTGTCAGATGCTTGAGAGCCATTAACAGTGATGATTATATACATTGGGAGTTTTAGGGCATATTCTTCACACATAATATTTTAAAATTCAATAATCCTATGAAACAGGCATTTTCTTCTCAGTTTACAGGAAGCAACACTTTAGTTCAGAAGGACGAAGCACCTTGCATAAGGTGACACAATCAGTAAATAACAAAAATAAGAGTAGAGCCCTAATAGTACTCGAAACAAGGTCTGTTATTATTTTATTTAAAACATACATAATTTCCTTTATAACCAGTATATACTACCTAAACTGCAAAGTCAACAATAATACGGAGATAAATTAACATTCAGTTGGACCTATTTATCCATCCTCCCACTCATCCATTCCAGATTCACTCAATGAAAACCACTATTTACCTGTCAATATGTAAACAACCACAGACAAGTAGCAGACCTGTGTCCTGTCTTGAAGTCTCAGAGTGAGGAATTAATAGAAGCCAAATGAATTCATTACTGAGTGAAATTTCAGGAAGAATAAACTTTTCTCTTCTAAATGCCCTCTCCTGGAGGACATTCCAAAGATGGCAGTAGGTACTCAAGATAAAGACAAAGATATGCAACCAAGAGATATGACAATCAAAATAAGAAAGTAATACATGGGTCAGTGGCAGTGGTAAATGAAGATACCACAATAATCCAGTTGAGGAGAGGCATGATGCAAACTTCCAAAACATGGGATATTCATTTTAGTCATAAGTTCTTTCTAGTATTGCTCTATTTTAAATAGTCTTCCCTGTTTTTCTATACATCTGTTATGGGCTCCATAAACATAAAAAATTAGCAGCATCTTGGAAAATGATAACATCCACGTTTACTTAGTACAATCGTACATAAACATTCTGGAATCGTCTGTTTTAAACTGGTAGTGTTACTAGCCAAGTACAGGGAAATTCAATTCATTCCATAAATCACCACTAGAGGGTGTTGCAACAAGAGGAAAGCAAACTCCTTGACTGAATATCAATGTAGGAATTTTCTTATTTTAATTCAACTGAAAGGTCACATATGCTTCTACTCTTAGAAAACTGGTAATAGCTAAAGAGACCTTCAACACAGGCTTCAAGATATAAATCAAAGTTCTTTATAGTTGCTTCACTGAGGGAAAAAGAGCCCCTGAATAACTTGAGATCTTTTAAGTATATTCCCCTCTCAAGTGGGGCAATATTTCATTCAGCAATCTCATTGTCTAAAAAAATTTTGGGTACAGAATTTATCTTTTATTAAGGGTTTTCAAAATTAAATTTCAGAGGAGCAATTTCCAGTAAATATGTAAAAAAAAAAAAGTATTGTAAAATACCTGCTGTAATGTATTCCAAGGGCCACACTGAAGAATTTCTTGTGCATTCAAAGGAGGCATCAAGTTGGCTGGGCATTTTATTGGTCTCTTTTTTTTAACAAATTTCTTTTGTTGATTTTGCTTGGAAATTTCAAACCAAGGTTTAAATGATTTCATCCAAGCTTGTCTCTTTTCTTCAATAGAAGGTATAAGTGTTAGCTCTGAGATGGAATGGGCCACACCGCTTTTACATTCAGGTCCATTTTCAAGACATTCTTCAGGATTTCTTTTACTCTGAGACATAAGAGAGTTTTTGTCTGTAAAATCTATAAAACTCTTTGCATTACAGTTACCAAAATCTTCGCAAGGAGCATTTCTATCTAAAATACAATCTCTCTTGTTTACTTTGCCTTCTAAATTTATCATAGCATTCCTGGTGTTAAAACTCACATCACTACTCATGTTTTCCTTGGTTTCTTTGGATTTTAAATTGATTTCTTCTTTTGTTTTCATTACATTTTTCTCTATCTGCTCAACATTTTCTAATTTTAGCTGCAAAAGTTTTTGTTTCATTGGAATCACTGAAATAGCTCCTTCATTTAATGTTTCATTCTGTTCTGAAAGTTCTTCTGTATCTATGTTTTGTAACTTACTCTGCTGATTACCTTGAATTATTTTTTGTGCGTCACTGCTTTTCACTTCATTATTTTCCTGATTATCTACTAGTATTACTTGGTTTTCTTGTTGCATATTTTCAGTTTTCATGAAGTCTCCCTTTTGTATTTGAGATTTTAAATCTAGTAGCTGAGACTGTCCTGGCACATTTTCTTTGAGATCTGGATATTCCAATTCAATTTTTTGGTCCATATTTTCGCATTTTTGGTCCTGCTTGACTGAATTTTCTGAACAGTACTGTTTTGTTAGGTTTTCGACTTTTTCTTCCATTTTAAATTCTGCCCGCAATGTCTGGTTTGATATAGAGTCTTTTAAGTTTACTTGCAGTGAATCTTTCAGTACAAGCTCTCTACCTACATTTTCTTTCTTTGACTCTTCAAGCAGACAAGGGGGAGCATATTCCAGCTTCTTTGATTTTTCATACTTTAGTTTTCTGGCTACATTATCCTTATGCTTTGATACATCTTCAGCAGTGTAATGTATGGTATTATACTCTCCTTGCTTAAATGCACTACTTACTATTAGCTGTTTACTTGCTTCTTCTTTTAATCTTAATTTCTCCTTGTTTAGTAGTTGTTCTTTTTCTTGTTTCAGAATTTTCTTTTTTTCTTCATAGTCTTTTTCTCTCCTTTTCTTTTCCTCTTGCTTCTGCTTCTTTACCTCTTCTTCTATCCTTTTTTCTGCCTCTAATCTTCTTCGTTTTTCTTCATCCATTTGTCGTATTTTTGCTTCCTTTTCTTTCCACTCTTGTGCTTTCCTTTTCTTACTTTCTATTTGTTCTCTTATGATTGGGCCATATTTTTGGTAGACGACAAATGCTTTATATTTAGCTTGAATTTTTACAGCTGCATTATGCTGTAATTTTAACAAACGCATTTTTTCTTTTTCCTGTAGGTCTTTAAATTTTATTCTTTCTTCTTCCATTTGCAAATGCAGGTTTCTAATAAACTCCTACAATAAGATAAATAGTATAAGCTAAATATGCAATATCATCATTAAAATGTCATTGAAAATATAGATTGAAAACAAATACTAAGCCTGCAGTCCTAATGAAGTCACTTAGAATGACACAGAGTAAAAGCAAGAGAAATTACAAACCAAAATGTGTAGTAAAATGACTCAGATTTTCTGAGATTGGACTTCTGGTAAAGGAGACATTTAGAGTTAACAAGGGGACTCTGGAAACAGGAAAATATTTTGTAATACTTATGATACCAGTAGACCAGGTAGAATGTATATATAAAGAACGAACAAACAAACAAACAAAATGAACCATCTTCACATACCAGATCATTACTCAACTATCAAGATAATTGATTAATACATATCACATTAGATGAAATAATGTGGAGTTAGGTGAGATAATGTCATTGTCAACAGAGTCCTAAGAAACATGGTAAACAGATCAACAAAATTCAGCAAGTGTGAAGAAAATGAACACAAATAGTGTACAGCACAAAAATACCTGAGTAAGTAGAAGGGAAAATAATTTCTGAGAAAAGAGACCCAGGAAACTAGATAGAAATGAAAATGAAGAAAATATTTTAGAAAACAAATGTTCATAACAGTATGCTTCTTCAACACTTTAAAGAAGCTTTAGAATAACAATATATTCACTCACTAAAGCATTTTTTTTTTCATTTTCAGGGCATTCTACACCAAGGAGAGATACTGATTATAAATAATATTTCTAATGCTTTAGTAAATTAAATGCTACTTTAGCTAGGCAATATTATTTTAAAATGTTTGCTTCAAACACAGTCGTTTATTTTAAAAACAACAAATAGATACCTCATGCTGTTTAATTTTCTCTTTCCACATTTTCTCTTCTTTATGGAGTTCATCATTCATCTTGTCCTCTTCTTGCTGAACATACGATAAAAATGAAATATTATGTTTAAATATCAAAGATTATGTTAATTCTATATGATTCTCACAGTATATATTTATGAACAATGGGTAAAGAAAATATCTAACAGTCCTCAACTATTGGGATAATGACTTCAATCTCAACCTAAAGTATCAGATTAATCATACCTAAGTTTTCCACTTCCATCATATAACCTTAATTTATTGGGGTATGTTTATTTATATAATATGATACACTGGTGGGAAACAATGTTGGACAATGCAAAAATCATAAACTATTTATAATGTTTCTTATCATTAAATTTTTGTCTCTCCACACCATTCCATTTAATTTATATAAAAAATCATTTCAGTGGGTAAAGGTTTTCTCTTAATAACTCTTTATTAGCACCAATTTTGTTAAAGTATTTCAGAATAACAATGATACAAGAAAGAACAACAAAGATCAGTAAAATATATTCCCTTTCATCTAAAATGCTATAAGTTCTCACAGTAGCCCAAATTTAGCAAAAGCATATCAAAAGATACGACCATAAAAAAGCATGGTAGGAACAGATCCTAAAATTAGAAGACAATGAAAGGTTTCACAAAGACAATTACATTTGAAATGCTTAGGCTGACTAAGCTTTCAAGAGGTTAAATAGACACTTTAGTCTGTTTTAAAATCTAATGATGCTAACTAAAAATAAGATTAAAGGAGAGGAAGTCAGAAATGAAAAATATTAAGTGTTCATTTGCAAATAATGGGGAGGAGTAAGAACACTGAAGGAAAGAGATTTATAGTAACTGTTTTGTGGAATAGAAGAGGAAACAAATAAAGGGCCAAAAATGGTCATATTGAAAAACTTTTAAGGTAAAACTCAAGGCAAAATTAAGCTCATTTAGGAATTCATTAAATCTTTGAATGTCAAATATTTTCTAAGTCATAATTGTATGATATAGTAATTACTTTCAAAATCTAACTTATAGTTCTTTGAGGTGTTAAGTATTCTCTTGTATCATCTAAGCACCTTGCTGAATACTTTGTCCTTCAGCTAGTCAGTAAACTTTTGTTATAAAACAAATATGACAACTAAGATGTATTTATAAATCAAATGCTATATAAATCTGAAAATGCCATTAACCATTGATAACAATGAAACATTTCAGAGCAATACAGTAAAAGCTATTTTAATAGTCTATATTAAATTCAAATTCTTTCCTGGAATTAAAGAAATAAATTCTGACTTTTGGGTGTGTTCACTTAATCTGGCCTGAAAACTTAAAGATTTCAGAGTTTACAATTAGAAAACGTGATGGTCAAACAGGCACTTCAGATACGAATGTCTTCAATTTGTGTATTTTCTATGTAATCAGAAAATGCAATGTACCCAACACAGAGAGCTTGAATGTCTTAAACTGCCTAAGTGACTATGAGCTAATAGTCCCTGTGTGGAAGACTCACAACTAAGTCCTGGTGGACTTTTAGGAATGTGACTTTTAGGTCAATTTTAGGAATGTACGACACCAAGGCCAGTATTACCTGTTGCTCAAACATATTAAGGACCCTACTAGTTTACAAGTAGGGTCCTAAAATCTACCGACTTCTTAATATGCCAGTACAATGACATGAGGTTGGGCTAGGGGAACAAAATAAAACAATACAGAACTCCTTTACACCCCAAGATTTCTAATCCAAGGAATTAGACAAATTATGGAAGTAATATACAACTATGACTTCTATGCTTGAACTACTTCAACCTAAATGTGTTTTACATAATGTGTTAAATGTATAAGATCACATGCAAGGATACTGCATGATCAAGAAAATTGTGTCGCCTTTTCTAGTTTTAGAAGGGAATAGAAAAACAGTAGATTATGCTGTAAATATCATCTTTTGAGGACAATCTTCTAAATTTCATAAACTCTATGGGATCTCAAGATTCCAAGAAAATTTATTCAAGCAGTTGAATAAATTTCAAAGAAAATGAATTAATTTCAAAGAAAACTAGTCCATGTTATATGCTGTTAATCTAGTCAATTTAAGCCACAGAACAGAGCTTGAACTGTATCATACACCAAAACATTAGTACTGTTCAGACATAGCTACTAATTTTTTTTTTAAAAAAATGCATGAGAAACAAAAACAACTTACCTTCTGAATAATATCTAACTTCTGCTTTTCAACTTCAAATCGTTTCATCCACCAATATCTCTTTTCCTCTTCTTCTTGAAATTCCTTTTTTTCTTTATCTCTCTGAGCTTTAAGAGTTTCTTTCTCTTGGTCTTCTAGTTCTTTCTGTTTGTCTTGCCAAGCCTCAAAAGACTGTCTGCATCTTTCTTCCACTTCACAGTATCCAAAATTTATATCAGTGTCATCTACACATGAAGAGAAATAATATTTTTAGAAACAAACCTGTTAAAAGGTAGCCAATGTAAAATATAAAAGTAATTTTAAAATGAAGAAATAATGCTAACACATTAACAAAGTAAATTGTGATGATATTCAGAAAGAAGCATCTTTTTAAATATATGGAAATTCTATTACATTCAATAAAGACATCATATAACTTACCTTAAACTAATCTACACAACTTAACATAAAAATACAGCGTGTATGTGCATATGTATATGTGTGCCTAAGGAATACATAAAGAATATAGTTAAGGGATATTAATAATTCAATCTTGTGGCAGCTACATATGTAGAAAAAATTAAATATATTTAAAAAGATAATTTAGGAGGCATAAAGAAAACTATCCAAAAACATAAATAAGCATTGAAAAAAATAATTTTTAAATGTTGTGGCTATATTTTTCTAAATGAAAAAGAGAATAAACCATATAATTTTTTTCAGATAAATATGACCAATCACATAAAAATCATCACTGGCAGTTTAGCCTACCTGGCAAAGTCTGTTCATTCACAAGGAAGTCATGAGGACCAAGCTCTGGAACAGAATCAGGACTGCCACAACGGGTCTTACTTCTTAGAAATTCTTCTTTTTCTATTTCAGATAATATCTAACAGGTGAATAGATTAACAATGATTAAAGAAAACCAAAAGGAGAGTAAAACTATTATTTTAATAAAATACTAAGCAATCACATACAGAATTTTATTTGCCTCAAATCTATAGTGCACTATTTTTCTTTATATAAACAAAACCCATATATTAATAAAAACCTATTCTATTTATGAAACTAATTTAATTTTTTAAAAAGATTTATTTATTTGTGTGTACAGAACTGGGGCACAGGTCAGAGGCTCAGGGGTGGTGAGAGGCTTCACCAGAGACAGAGTGGGGAGCAGAACAGGCAGATCGACGAAGTACACTGCTGAGGGGGGCAGTGGGTAGGCCAGGAGAGGTCTGCCACGCCATGTGGTCACCTCCGGGGCAGGTGGGAATGGAACTCATGCGGAAGTGGCTTTTAGCTTCTCAGTGCTGTGCTTTAACCTGCTGTGCCACCAGGGAGGGCCTATTTTAAATTTTTAAATAAGTGGATTTTAAATCAGTGAACTATCATTCTTCATTAAAAGTAAAGGTTACTTTTTAAGACTTATTTATTTATGCATACAAGAACTAGGCTAGAAGCCGGAGATGCAGGGGGGAGGGTGACAGGATTCACCAAGAGTGGGGAGCAGAACAGGCAGATCTACTGAAATATTCTCTTGAGGGGAGCAGCAGGGGAGACAGGAGAGTCTGCTGTGCCATGTGCGTTAATTCTTAACTCATGCTGCAGTGGCAGGCAACAGTTTAGTAGCTGTGTCTTTAAGCCCTGTGTCACTAGGGAACCCCAAAAGTAAATTTTTTAAGTATAATATGAAGCACTTTCAGTCAAATCTTAAATATATACCTTCATTAATGGTTCTGAGTTTTCTTTAGATTCTGTTGATAATTCTATCCTTAAATGCATATGATCATTAGACACTGCACCATAACTACAGCCTGTGGAGGGAAAATAATACAGTTTTAAATATCAGAATCGGGTATAACACATGAAAATCCCCCAAACTTTCATCTCAGGTAAAGGTTTAACTTTACCTTTATATTCTTGATCTAGAACTCAAAACAACAGAAAAATAACTGAAGAAAGAAACAGAAGGAACCTGTGATCTTTCTTCTAAAAATAAAATTAACAAAATTTTAAAACTCTGTAACACCTGATTGCATTTCACATTCCAAACTGGTTTTCTTTTCATCTATATAGAATAAGACTTTGTTTGTTATAATGATACCTCACAGAAGTCAACAAATGTTCAAATCTACCAGACACCAAACAGCAATATAATCATGCAAAAGATGTTGAAAACTTAATAAAAGCATCAGTTTAAGAGTTAAAATTATTAAATGTGAATGAAGTGAACTTTCACTAACTTCTGTTGAACTTTATAATGTCTTTTTATTACCTATATAGATGTAGGTATCTTTCTTACCTTCATTTCAATTAATGTAATGTTTCCTAAGAAGAACTATTTTTACAAATTATCATTTTGCAGGTTACCTGACTATTCAAACCTATACATACACTTCCTTTACACCTACTTCCAGTTTTTCTGGCATGCTTTCCTATGAAGAGACTGAAAAGCAAAAAATAGCATTCTTTAGATTACCTGGAAGCTAGGATGTTAAAGGTGATTTAAGTTCTTCCAATTTATACATTTGTATAAGTCTCTGTATTTATAAGAATTAGGTGTAAAGAGAGGCAGAGAGCAAGTTTCACTTTTGTGAATCCAAACCATGATACAAGAAGTTCTCTATATTATACACAATAAGAGTGCATAGTAGAGAATTAACGTCTCTAAATTTCCTTTTATTAACTAATTAATTTATTTATTTTTTGCTTAGAATAACTGGAATGTAGGTCAGAGGTGTGGGAAGGTAAGAGACTCCCAAGAGACAAAGTGGTGAGCAGAACAGGTGGATTTACTGAAATGCACCTTTTAAGGGGAGCAGCAGGTGAGGCAGGAGAGGTCTGCTGCACCATATATGAGTTAGCTCTCTTGCTGAGGACTGAATTCAGGCAGTAGGGGTTGTAGCACTGACATGTAACCCCTAGTTCCCTAGGGAGGCCCCCTCTAAATTCCTTAATTATATTAAACAACAAGTCCTGATGCAGTCAAGTATACAATGGATGTGTATGTATTTTTTACACTTTGGATATAATCTAGAGTCTGCTGTTTCAATTCTATTTAACAATCCTGTTAATAATTGCAGTAGCCAGTTTCTAAAGATGTCTCTCCCGCACTTTTTGGTATGTCCACCATGATTAATTCCCTCCTGCACATAAGCTGACTTTTGTCACTATTAGGATGTGATATAAGTGACACTGCATGACCTCTGAGAATAGGTCATAAGAAGCTTTACAAGAGTCGACCTCCATACTTCAGTATTTTGTTCACAGAATGTGTCTTCTCAGAATTCAGATGCCATGCAAGTCTATTGCAGGTGCAAATGAACACCCAGTCAACTCCGAGCATCAACTGCCATTCATTTCAGTGAGCCAGCTGGGAATTCCAATCTAGTAAGGGTTTCAGCCTTAATCAGCATCTGACAGAAAAATGCACAAGATTCCAAGCAAGAACTGTCTAGCTAAGACCAATCAGTGGACAAAAATATAAATTAATAAACTATTTTAAAACAGCTTTGTTGCAATAATTAGAAAACCTATTCTACCCATAAAAATACATACATATACCACAGAAATCTTACTGCTTAAGTTAAAATACTCTCTGCAGGCCCTCCCTGGTGGCGCAGCAGGTTAAAGCACAGCACTGAGAATATAAAGCCGCTTCGCATGAGTTCGATTCCTGCCTGCCCTGGAGGTGACCACGTGGTGTGGCAGACCTCTCCTGACCCACCCACTGCTCCCCTCAGCAGTGTACTTCGTCGATCTGCCTGTTCTGTTCCCCACTCTGTCTCTGGTGAAGCTTCTCACCACCCCTGAGCCTCTGGCCTGTACTCCAGTTCTGTATGCACAAATAAATAAATCTTTAAAAAAAAAAAAAAAAAAGCTCTCTGCGGTCTACAACTGAGGCTTCTTATTAATATAGTTACACTCATAAATAAAGTTAGCCTCTAGTTTCTTTTGTGTGTGATAATCATTAGCCCAGGACATTATTAATTTCGGTTAAACCTTTGTTCTATTTTTGTTAGAATAACAAAATAGAATAACAAGCAGTAAATTTTGTTCAGCTGAAGCAAATAATATTGTTATGGTGCTGATATAAACTATTGTTATTTTGTCTAAGAAGTTATATAAATTGACACCTTTAAAATATTTCCATGATTAATTTTCTTTTATTTGATGTAATATAATAAAATATCTGGTCTGAAGCCAGCTGAAACAAAATGTTGGTGACAGGATTTACTGAAAACGTAAGGAAGGTAGAAAGGAAAACAAAGAGATAGTACAAAGAACTAGTAAAAATTAGCACATATATCAAAGATAAATTTACATATGTATAAAGTAAGAAACATGAAGTTCAAGTAGTTTACTGCTGTAAATTACAATCTGTTCGTACCTACAGAAAACTTTTCTGCCAAGTAGATGAAAATTGTACTTACAAACATCAGTATCTTCCATGTCCTGAAGAATGAGCTCTTCAGCAGTTTTACTCTTATTCTTTATGATGTTAATACAGTGAAGAACTGATTCTGGTAACTCATCTATATCCTAAAATTTAGAATAGTAAAAGAAATTAAAGACTTGGATGTAAGAAGTGAAACCATGAAGTAGACAGACGAAAACAGACAGACGAAAACATGGACAAACATTCCATGAAGTTGGCTTAGGCAATGCTTTTCTTTTTTTTTTTTAAAGATTTATTTATTTGTGTATACAGAACTGGGGTACAGGCCAGAGGTTCAGGGGCGGCGAGAGGCTTCACCAGAGACAGAGTGGGGAGCAGAACAGACAGATGGATGAAGAACTCTGCTGAGGGGAGCACCAGGCAGGCCAGGAGTGGTCTGGCAGGCCATGTGGTCATCTCCGGGGAGAGTGGGGATTGAACTCATGCAGAAGTGGCTTTAGCTTCTTAGTGCTGTGCTTTAACCTGCTGTGCCACCAGGGAGGGCCGAGGCAATGCCTCTTTTGACTTCATACCAGTGTCAAAGGAAATTTTTAAAAAATTAAACATATTGAACTATGATTGAAAGAAACAAACATTAAAGATAAAAGGCAACATACGAAAATATTTTGCACAACATACATCTGACAAGGGATTAATATTCAAGTTCTACAAAGAATTCATAAAACTCAATAATAACAACAGAAAGAAAAAATCAAGGAAAACAATGAAAAAATGGGCAGAAAAGCTCAATAGTCACATCTCCAAATAAGACACACAGATGGCAAACGGGCACATAAAAATATCACATATCATCAGGGAAAAATGAAAATCAAAATGCACAATGCAATGTCACATCACTGCTGTGAAAATGGCCCATATCAAAAAGACGCGAAACAGTGTTAAAGGGTGTGGAGTAAGGTCCTCCCTGGTGGCGCAGTGGGTTAAAGCACTGCACTGAGAAGCTAAAGCCATTTCCTCATGAGTTCGATTCCCGCCTGCCCTGAAGGTGACCACATGGCGTGGCAGACCTCTCCTGACCCACCCAGTGCTCCCCTCAGCAGTATACTTCGTCGATCTGCTTGTTCTGTTCCCCACTCTGTCTCTGGTGAAACCTCTCGCCGCCCCTGAGCTTCTGGCCTGTACCCCAGTTCTGTATGTACAAATAAATAAATCTTTAAAAAAAAAAAAAAGGGTATGGAGTAAAAGAAACCCTCATATACTTTTGGTGGGAATGACATAGGTTCAGCCCCTATGTTAAACAATGTGGGGCTTCTCAGATGTTAAAAATCGATCTACATATGACTCAGCATCTCCACTCCTAGGAATCTACCCAAAGAAAGCAAAACATTAATTCAACGGGATACATACACTCCTAAGATAATTATAGCATTATTTATAACAGTCAAGTTATAGAAACAATCTAACTGTCCAAAGAGGCTGAGTTGATAAAAATGTGGTACACAGTGAAATACCACACACACCGATGAAATCTTAACATGGATAGAATAGGAGGGTATCATGCCAAGATTGCTAAGTCAGAAGAAGAAATGACAAATATTGGATGATTATACTCATGTGTAATATAAAGAAATAAATAAAAAGAGCAGACAAAACTGAAGTAAAACTACCCCCTGAAATCCTGCAGAACTGAAGCAACTAGAGAGGGTAAGAAATGATAAAACATGTAAACCATAAGAAACATACTAAGGAAAGTGGTATTTCACCTGAACAGATACTCCAGTTAAAGGACATAAGAATCCAACACTTACTGTATCACTATCTTCACTCTGGGTTTCTGATTTTGAATCACTATCAACATCATTTTCCAAAGAAGATATGCTTATTTTATTCAACTCGGCTTCTATTTCTTCTTTGATCTTTTCATCATCATCATCATTTTCTTCCATCATCCTTCATAATAAAACACAGGATCATTTAAAGAAAAATAACGAGACTAATATTCTGGTAAAATCTTTGAGTTCTTTGGACTTTCCCTGGTGGCACATGAGTTAAAGCACTGCATTATGAAGCTCTCTGAAGCCACTGCAGCATGAGATCAATCTCTGGCCAGGGAGCTGACCCACATGGCATGGCAGACTTCTTCTGACCTGTCTGCTGCTACCCTCATTAGTGTGCTTTGTCAATCTGCCTGTTCTTTTCCCCACTCTGTCTCTGGTGAATCCTCTCACTACCACATCTCTGGCTTGTACCCCAGTTCTGTAAGCATAAATAAATAAATCTTTTAAAAAAAAATCTTTGAGTTCTTTAAGGTGTCATCTTCGCAACATGATCTGACTTAAACTTTTATCACAACTTATTATGTTTGAAATATATTATACAACATTGGTTTAATTCTCCACCCTTTAATATTTAACTACAAAAAGTCAACTCAATACATTCTTCTAATTCTCTAAGGAAAAAGTCAAATGGAAAGTACTGCCTTACCTTCCTGAACAAAGAAACTTCATAGTAATATTCATCCTCATGGGAATAATTAGTGACAAAAATACCTATGAACAAGCTTGAATCTTCAAATTACAATACTCTTGAGAGAGCAATCTGAGTTTGTGCATAGGGAGACAGATGGCTAATATCCACTATTTACTCAGATTCGTTAATTTGACCATAGACAGTCATGTGTTTTCCCCAACCTCTCTCTTTCCTTCCTCCATTTCTCCCTTTTGTCATCCTTATCTCCCTTTTGCTTCTTTTTAAATTAATCTCAGAATCAACTGTTTGGGAATCCATCAGGTGTATTTACAGTAGTTTTATGTACTAAAAATATTGATTAAAGGAAACAACCCATTCTTTAATTCACAGCACCATTAACAATTAAACACACTTTCCTTCATTTTATGAGAAGCCCCTCTTCTTAACAAAGTTTAGGCCTCTAGGATACGAGTCTGACAACTCAACTACTGAACTGTTCTCCATCCACTATTTCTCCTGTTTACTTCCTCACCATAAATTGTTATTCCATGGGTCCCACCTCCCTCAAAAGCAAAGTCGTTAACTTCTATCCAAAAAATAAAAAGTGCCCAACTTTCCTTTAGTTACAGGTATTACATATCCTTCTTTCAATGATTTTATTTAATTAAAAATAATTTTATTTAATTTTGTCCACATATGAAGACAAAATGAAAACATACATTTATATAAAAACTTGTACAAGAATGTTCACAACAGTTTTATGCATCATAGTACCCAAACCAGAAACAATTCAATGTCCCTCAATAAGCAAATAGTTAAACAAATTCTTATACAACCATACCATGGAATACTACTCAGCAATAGAAGGAAAGGACTATTTCTTCTGTGATTCATGGCACAGTACTAACTCTCCTGAGATACTATATTGAGTACAAAACTCATCAAAAGGTAAAATACTGTATAAATGTATTTACATAACATTTTTTAAATGACAAGCTTTCTAAATGGAGGACAGATTTGTGATTTGTAGGAGTTAGGGATGGATGGCATTGGAAGAAATCAGTTATAGTTCTAAAAGGGCAACATGAGAGATCTTTGGGATGCTGGAACTATTCAGTATTTTGGGTAAAAGACATGAAATATTCAGCTAATAAAAACTGTATAGAGAATAACACACATATACACGTTAGTATAAGAACAACTGAGGGAATCTGAATAAGATTAGTAAATTTTATCAATATCCAATATCCTGATTGTAGTATTATCCTACAGTTTATAACTTATTAGCATTGGGGAATATTACACAACAAGTACAAAGGATATTTTTGCATTTTCTTAAAATTGCATGCAAATCTACAAGTACTTTAAAAATTTTTCATTAAAAGTACTTAAATAACCAATAAGAAAACTTAATTATAATGGATCCATAGAGTGAAATACAAGTCCTTCAAAGTACAGTACAATTGAAAAAAAAAAAAAAAACCCAGTACAATTACTGCTCTACAATGGAAAGGTAGTTAAGAAGGAATAACTGAAAAAAGGTAAATTACACAAAAGTATGCAAATAGAAACATTCTGTAAGAAAGCCGGGACAAAGTTTTGATTTTCATATCATGTGTTTATGTTGACTAACATATTACCAATATGTCAGTGCTACTTTATACTAATGTTAGCAATATTATTACCAATATCGGTACTACAATAGAACTACCAATATTACTAAAATATCAGGACTACTTTTATTTTTTTAAGGACTCAATTTACCCACAAGTACCTCTTCCAAAGGAAAACACAACAATGAAGTTCCAGAGCAAAGTTTTCCTGTAGTTAAACTTTTAAATGTAATTCAATAGCTTTCTTAGGTAGAAAATTAGATTTCTTAATATGGCTATAAAGCAGAATGCACAGGTAGGCAAAAAAATGATGTGCAAAAAAAACAAAAACAAAAACAAAACAACAAAAACAGCACAAGAACATAAGGCGTGATTTCCGTTATATGACTCCCTGTTCATCTACTCCATCTCCATCTACTGGATCTCCAGATTACATATTTGAACAGATAGGTAACATTAAATTTTGTTGCAACATTTTAAAAAATAAATAGAAAAGCTCTAATTAATTTTAACATTCTTATTCATCCAAATATTAGTTTTTAGATTTAATATAGTTTACATCATTTTTAAATTTTTGTACAATGTATGCTTTCTCATCTCGGTTGCAGCCCCTGTGAAATCCCCCCACCAATCCCCCCGTGCACCATCACGAGAGTCCCTTGTGCTATTCCCACTCGTTTTGATCGTACTCTCCTCTACCCACTTGAAGAGTGTCTCTGGTTTGTAGCTGCCTGTTGGTTTTGATATTTATTTTATTATGATTATTCTTTTTCCCCTCAATCCCTTACTTGGAACCTCTACATTCCTCCTAAGAGTGAAATCATCCTAATCCATATATTATTTAAATATATAATCAACATAAAATTATTAAATCAGTGTAAAGGTTACTTTTTTTTTACACAATAATTCTTGGAAATCTGGGGTGCACTTTACGCCTAGAATACTTTTAAAATAAGACGAGCTGCCGTATCAAGCTATCAACAGTTGCCCTTACCTAAAGGTTGCCGGACAGGTCAGTGCAGCCCTTGAATGTACAGTCACTACTTCAAATTGGTAACAAATCTTGGATTTGGCTACAGCTACCCAAAGCGGGACATCTTCCAGAATTCCACTTCCAACCAACTACTGAAAGGTAAAGGAAGGAAATCTACTTTGAAAATTAACCACGAAGTTAGGCAGAGGAAAGGAGCACCCAAGGGGGAAATAGAAGGAGCACGGGGGAAAAAGGGGTGGCGGGAAGGGGTAAACCCAGATGAGGAAAACAAGTAATCAAGAGTCTCCTAAATCTTCAAGGTGCATCCTCGAGTCAGCGCGAAGTCCCATTATCTCCAATTTTGAAGGGAAACTAAACTCGGGTGACTCGCGCACTACCCCTCCGCCCGGTTTCCCCTTTGCGCTGAAGCGCGGCCCCGGCGAGGGAGCGGGAGACCTCCGCCGCCCGCGCACCCACTTCGGCCTCACCTCCCACAACCCGAACCCCCGCAGGGTAGTGAGGGCACTCGCTCACCCACCAGCAGCTAACTCCCTCCGCTGGGTTAGGAAGATAGCGCCCGGAGCCTCCAAACAAAGTGTAGCCACGGCAACAGCCAATCTCAAAGAAGGTGGAGTGGCTTTGCCTTACAGGAGCCCCACTAGGACAAACTATCTTCATTCATTCCATCCGCTATTGGCATGCATGAATGGGCCTCGAAGGCTCAATGTCTGTTTAAGGCTTTTTCAGGGCATTTTGAATATGTAAGTGATTTGGGGAAGTATAGAGTAGACAAGCAACACGTTGACCAAGTGGAGGGGGCCTTTAAACTGTTTCTGAGCTTTGCATATTTATTACTTGCTTCTAGTGAAGGTTGCATTCCACAAAACCTTAATTCTGACTAATGATTTGTGAGACCTGGAAGTATGAAAGAGAAATCAGTAAGTTATTTTTCATGACAACAGTTTCTTAAAAAACAAACAAAACCAATTATCACTTAGTAGCTATTAAAAGCCTCTAAGTGAATAGATGTGTGAGATATCTTGATTATTTTCTGAAATATGCTTTACTATAAACTATTGATGGTGACAATCACTGCTTTAATGTAAAGTTTGGATTTCTAAGCATATATCATATTTTTAAATATTAACTTAAAAATTCATCCGTTTCTTTTTGTTTGCTTGTTTGTTTCCTGGAGCCTAGTCTACAAAATGTGAAATTTCATTTTAGTTAGTAACATGTTGCTGATTTCATTTTTCTGCAGTTTTCAAACAATGCATTGAATTATAAGAGGAAGTAGCTCATATAATTGTACAAGAGCTCTGATACACAAAAAGCTAAAAGCAAACATTACGTAGAGTCTTTGTAAAAAACCCTGTATTTCCTGGTAACTTGTATCAGCGTAAGAATTATTAATTTTGAATTAAGTAGACGTTTGAGAGAAGAAAAACAGGCTAGTGTCTCTTTTAAGAAAGATAATGAATTCATATCTAATTCAATTCAGGATGTCCTTACTATTAAAATGAATGCTCAAATCCCATTTTTCATTTTTTAAGATTTATTGCTGACATATAAACTACTCATTTAAAATGCTCATAGTATTGTGCGAAATTCAGATGTACAGTATCTTAAGATATATTTTTATTTATTAGTATACAACTATTTAGGGTTTTGCTAAAAATATCAAAACCATTAGTAATTAATATCTAAAATTAATTATAAAAGCTAATTTAGAAATTCACTTAGAACTTTCTTTTTCTGTGTTCTAATTTTTAGTAGAAACTCATTTGAAGATGATGTCTAAACCGCTATAGTTAATTTTTATGGTGTCAAATAAATTGATAGTGAAATGGGATTTTATTGAAAGCTGTTTTTCTATTTTATCATAGTAAAAATTACCATCATTAATTTATGGTAAATATACTCTCATGCTATGTTTTACTTCGGGAAAAAGTGACAACTCTAGCAATTAGCCATTACTATTACTAATCAATATCATTAATTAAAGAAGAAACATTTTAAATGAGTAGTTTATACGTCAGCAATAAATCTTAAAAAATGAAAAATGGGATTTGAGCATTCATTTTAATAGTAAGAACATCCTGAATTGAATTAGATATGAATTCATTATCTTTCTTAAAAGAGACACTAACCTGTTTTTCTTCTCTCAAACGTCTACTTAATTCAAAATTAATAATTCTTATGCTGATACAAGTTACCAGGAAATACAGGGTTTTTTACAAAGACTCTACGTAATGTTTGCTTTTAGCTTTTTGTGTATCAGAGCTCTTGTACAATTATATGAGCTACTTCCTCTTATAATTCAATTGATCTCAAGTAGTTATAGGTCTAAGTCTATTTAACAGAAAACTATTGGTTAACTATGCATCCTTTAACAGAACTCTTTTTAATTTAATTAACTTAATCTTCCTAGTAATTATAGACCAAGATTGAGTAGACTTTATCCATAACATTTTTTCTTTTTCATAAATAACCTTTTACCAATAAATTTTGCTCTTATTTTGAAAAGTATCCAGAGTCTCATTACTTCTTACTGATAACACAACATATTTTCAATGGAGAGCAAAATAATACATACTTGTTGAAGGTATGTATGAGTAAATGAAAGAGAATTCTGCTCCTAGGGCTTTTGAAAAAAATGAGATCCTACAGAATGTTACTTGAGTTATAGATTACTTTAGTAAAATTCTTCAACAGTAGTTTTATTTTTCATATGTGTGATACAATTAACTATCCCACAATATCATTGTATTACTCAAATAAATGTATCATAGTTGTTTGTTTCTGTTTTCTTGACAATAATTATTGTGATAGGTTTTTTTTTTTTAATATGTAACCCATAGGATTGGACTCTCAGACCTCTGCTTCTCTTTTTCACTTAAAGACTATCCTGACCTTCAATTTCTCACTCTTTGTGCTCTCTCCCTGCAACAGATGCGATTAGCTACTTCTTCTCTACCACCTTTCCTGAACTCAGGTTCTATTTCTCATACTCACTTGTACTTTTCTTCGATAGCCTTAAGTATTTCTATAGTAAATGTGGTATAATGAGATTAATAGCCAACATTTAAGTAGACACTGAACTGAGTGCTTTGCAAATATTATCTCACTTAATTTCCACACCATCCTTTGAAGTTTATGCTATTTATAATCTAAATTTACAGATGATGAGTCTGGGACTTGGAAAGGCTAACAAGAGAGGTAACCTCTCTGGATTTGAAGCTTAGTAAGTAAGTAATTTGTTCTCCCTGAGTCTCATTTCTCCTTTGCAATGCTGGGGATAATAAAATAATAGCACTTAATTTGCAAAATTTTGACCATCAAGCCTATCTGCACAAATGAGATTATAGAATGACAATAAGAGTTGATAACACTTAAGTTTAAATATGTTTAGGTTTAAGCTTTTCTGACCTGGACACCAGAATATCATCTTCACCTTTTCACCATCCCAGAGCTGGCAATTCTACTACCTACTACCTCATATCCTGATACTGTTATATTTTGCAGCTTAGACCACACTCATTACTTATTAACTAATATGCATTAGCTTTGTAATTACCTCCCTACCTTAAGGTTCCTTTTAACTTTACTTAATATTGATGACAAAATTATGGTTACCTGCAGGAAAATAAGAGCAAATTCAAATATACACAATCATTCACAACTTAAATGAATCTATTGTGATTTCTCTAGCCTTTTATTTCTTCTGCCACTCTGACCTCAATGCACTTCACTGGAAAAGTTTTTGAGCTCAGTATTCCACCTGTCTTGAAAACTTCCTATCTCTATGCCAGTTTTGAATGTTGCCTTATTAATTATCCTTCTTTGCCTTGTTAATTACCCTTAACAAATCATCTTAAATTCATCTCCAATGTGAACATTCCAGAGTCTTTATTCCCTAATCCTAAACCCCGACACATAATTCAGAGTTAGGCACAAGCTTTAATATTTGAATCTTTAGTGCTTTGACTTCACTTCTGTGTTCCTATCTTAGAAGGAACTTAAAAACAAAAAGTAATCAGGGCACTATTTAGTGAAATAGAACATTTTGAATAGGTAAATTCTTATAAATTGCCCTTCCCTATAGTATTTATACTATTAAAATGAATCTCTGCTATTAGAGCATGAACTAACTAATCAGGAAATGAATAAAAATATAGAATGCTCCAGAATCGTGTTTGATTAAGTTATAAAAAGTTTTTTTTTTGTAATGAAAGATAGACCGTCCACATTATAAACTTTAAAAAAGGTACTGCTCTAACTTGTGTATCTTTGTTTCAGTACATCATATTTGAGACAGTTTCCAGTAGGTATAACTACAAAGACCAGCACAGATCCATCTTACCATTCTGTGTAAACATGACCTTCTTTGACCTGTTGCTTAGATACCCATTTGTTGTGTTCTAACTCTTCCTTAAGCTGCTTGCTATGGGCTGAAGCTTGTGTCTTCTTAAAATTCACAGGTTGGAATCTTTAAACTCAGTGTAAAATGGTGTTAGAAAGTATTATATTTAAGAGATAATTAGGTCATGAGGGTGAAGACCTCATGAAGGGGATTAGTAGTCATATAGCTCCTAGTACTGTGGCCACATGAGAATAAAAGAGGTCGGAACCTGGAAGGGGATTTTGTCTGAGCTGTGCTGGCACCTAATCTCAGCCTTCCTGCCTCCAGAACTGTGAGAATTTAATTTTTGTTGTTTTTGATAGCAACCCAGGTGGTGGTATTTGTTTCAGTAGCCCTAATGAACCGGGACACTAACCTTGCAGTTACACTGAATATCCTCCTTCTAAACTGGTTGACTTTGAGAATATTTATGCTTTGCCCCTGTTACATTAAAACTGCATTAGAGAATTTCTCTTCTACTGGTTTCTATGAGATCATGCTTTGATTGTTTTATGAGTCTTCTTTACAAACATCCTGATTTCTAATTGTATTGTTCCTTACCTTAAAACCTTTTTTTCTTTCTCCTGTCAGTTTCTTCGTCCACCATTCAATTCATCACATCAGCTATTTCTATAGAGATGAGTCACTATATAAATCTGCAAACTTAGTCTATGTTATCCATTTATCTGTACTCCCTTTCCAGTGTGTAACAATGTAGATATATTCTACATCTGCAAACTCAATTACTAGATACTAAATTTATGAATCTTTCCCAAATTTTCCTATTTCTAGTGGTTATCAAAACTCTTGTTCTCCCGTTCTATAAGGATTCTTCCGATAAATTTGCATTTTTTTGTTTTCCATAATGATCGTTTTGTTTTCCAAAACGATAGTCAAATCTTCTTTTCTCCTTCCAGTTTTCTTTCATAACCACCCTTTCCTTATTATTGGGCATTTTGCTCAGCCCTTCCCACATAATTTACTTCCATGTCTCTCCATCTTGAGTACATTTTGCTTCTAACTTCAACTCAGTATCATCCTGTGACCAAGTCTGTGGCTCGTGGAATATGAGCAAAAAGAAAAATTTGCTCATGGAGTATGAGCGTGAAGAAAAATTTGCAACTTCTTTACTTGCTTAAAAGATACTTGCCTGGCCCTCGCTGGTGGCGCAAAGGTTGGGACGCAGCACTGTAAGCTAGCCTCAGTCACTTCAGTGCAAGTTCTATCCCTGGCCCTGGAGGTGATCCATATGGAACAGCAGACCTCTCCTGTCTCACCCGCTGCTCCTCTCAGCATTGTGTGCTTCCTTGGTCTGCCTGCTCTGCTCCCCACTGTTTCCGGTGAATCCTCTCACTGCCCCTGCACCTCTGGCCTGTACCCCAGCTCTGAATGATAAATCAATCTTTAAAAAAAAAAAAAAAAAAAAAAACTTGTCTGAGTTTGGTGACATCCTTTCCTTTCTGCTGGTTATAAAAAGTGACATTTTCTGAGCTATCGAACAAACAAGAGTAAGCCTAAAATTCCTAAGATGATGAAGCTTAGGAATCCTAGAAGTGAACCCATTACCCAAGTTGGACTGAAAGAAAAACACACTTCAGTTTATTTTTGAATTTGGACCCTGTGATAAAGCATAGCCTTGAAGCTGGCATGCCAGTTATACTACTACCAAGTCAACAGTCAAGTCTGCCTTCATCATTACACACCAGAGTTACTGCAGAGTACTTCCATACATTGTCTTTTTCATTCATGAAAACCAGAACTTTGTGCCTAAATTCTCATGCAGATTGTAGCAGAGGCTTGAAATGTCTCATATTATATGCTGCAGTAAATAGAACTGAAGCCAAAAAAAATATCCCTATAGCATCTTGGGGGGGGGGATCTGAAATAAAAATCTAATAGTCATTCCATCTGTTTGTCCTGTCCAGACGCTGGAGGAATCTAAGAATAAACCTAGAGGATGAATTTAGAGAAAGCAAAAGACAGCAGGAGAGTTCAAAGCAAAGGGTGGAAGACAAAGCCTGGAAAGACTCCTTCAGCTGGGGAGAAGAACCTTAAGTGTCTGGGGAGGAATGTGGGCGTGGGTCAGAACAGGGAGGGAAGGAGATAGGCTCTAACCTAGAGATCTTTTATTTTTCCATTTTTCAAGGTATCTGTCAATTGAACAAACAGATTGCTGTCTTCCTACTTAGAAACCATTAGCTTCAAATTGGTCTTATTATATCTTCTATTATTAAAATATCGTGTTAAATATTGTAAGCTACAATACTTCAAGAAATATGGTACTAGCTAGAATTAAGAGAATGAAACAAGTTAGAAACAGAACTTAAAAAATTAAAACTTTAATATCTATTAATGAAAGCAAAAAGCAAATGTGTTGATTTTTTTTCAAAAGGAAATTTAGTAATTTCAGCTGTGTAGAAAAATATTTTAAGTGACCTGAACATTTTCCTTACATTGTATATCACAACTAAATTGCAAATGAATTGAATAATTTATTTCATCCATCCATTCAACAAATATGTATTGAGTATACCTACTATATGCTACACTTTGAGGTTATAGTGGTCCTAAGACTTGCTCTCTCTACTCAAAGAGCTCAGAGCCTATTTGGGAAGAAAAACAAGTAAAAGAAGACGTGCAGCTAATTGAGGTTAGAGCAATACTTACAAGACAAGACCTCAATAAAGAGCTGGTATTGAATATTTTGGAAGCAAAAAGTAAAGAAAAACTTTCCAGCAAGGAATTGCTTTACTTTCAGAAAACTGCATGTTCACCCAGGGAGCTGTTGACGTGCTAGACAAATGCCTTTTGATGTCAACTATGCAGCCAAAAAATTCAGACAGGGAAAGAAACAGACAGTTTCAATATATCTTCAACATGCCCTTATTTTCAGAAAGGTGGTGGGGAATGTTATTCTGATGAATGGTATAAGAAGAAAATCGTGCAATGAAAAGCCATAAATAGAATTAAAGTTGTTACTGTAGTGTTGATGGTAAAAGTTGGGTTATCTTTTCAGAATCATCAATATCAAGGGAGAAAATGATGTTGAAGAAGAAAAGCAAGACATTAATTTTAAAATACTTTCTTAACCTGATGAATGGAGCTTTCTTGGTAAGAATCTGTAATTATTTAGTAAAGAAAATGTAAAACAATTGTATTGAAATTTACTAAAATATATTGACCATTTTGCAGGCTCTGGGACTTTTAGTCATGGGATTTGGCACATGGCTTTTACTGGACAGAGACAATTTTCTCACAGCTTTAGGTATGTATTTGGTTTTAGCTGAAGGAATAAAGGCACTTTATTTTAAGCAATAGCATATATGATGTAATCAGCAGGTGGCAGTATTTCTCTAAAATTCATTAAGTATTCAGTTTTCATCTGGTCTTTGTCAAGTAGTTTTAGAAACCATTTATTAAATAATAGACTTATATCCAAGACAATAAAGGAGGAGAGATTATTTTTTAAAGATTTATTTACTTATGCATGCAAGAACTGGGGTACAGGCCAGAGGTGCAGGTGTGTGTGTGTGTGTGTGATAGGATTCACCAGAGACAGATGAAGCATAACAGGCAGATGCACTGACATGCGTGGCTGAGAGGAGCATTGAATGGGACAGAAGTGGTCTGTTGCACCATGTGGGTCAGCTCCCTGGCTGGGATCGAACTAGGAGCTGCACAGCTTCATAGTTCTGTGCTTTAGCCCATTGTACCACCAGGGAGGGCCCTATTTCTGTCACTTTAACGTAGCCTCCAGTAGCCTTGACCTTTGATATTATTTTTAACCATCTTCAGATGCCACTGAAATAATGAATTTAAAATGTAAATTTATGCCTTACCTGGTGGCGCAGCAGGCTAAAGCACAGCACTAAGAAGCTAAAGCCACTTCTGTACGAGTTTGATCCCCACCTGTCCCAGAGGTGACCCACATGGCGCAGCAGACCTTTCCTGACCTGCCCGCTGCTCCCCCTAGCAGTGTACTTTTTCAGTTGGTCTGTTCTGCTCCCCACTCGATCTCTGGGGAATCCTCTCACTGCCCCTGCACCTCTGGTCTGTACCCCAGTTCTTCATGCATGCATAAATAAATCTTTTTAAAAATGTAAATTTAGCCATCTTACATTAAACACTTTACACTGGACCTCCATTGCAATTGTTAACATAGGACAAATATTCAGAGTTAGACATTACCCCACGAAGTGAGGAGACAAGAATATGTAAGAAAAATAAAGTTTCTGTTCTTACAGAAATTAGCTCCAATTAGCAAGACTGAAAACAGCACACTAAGAGGCCCTAATGTGACTCTTGCAAGGACACTTTTCTAGTTCATTCACTGTAAGTGCCCGCTAAGCTGGCATTCAATGCACTCTGCACCTTTATGTGCCAGAATACTTCCACCCCTCCAACTTAAAATTTTCAGTCATTATTTAAAGTCAAAATACAGGATAATTCCTCTTCAGTATGCCTCTCTTTACCTATTGCTACATCTCCAACCTCCTCCCCCACTAATTTGATTCTTTTGTACCCAGTGGAGTGATGGGAATCGCTCAACTTGTTTCCTGATGGGGAGTCTTGATATATGGTATTTGCCAATTTCCATGGTTTAAATACTCCCACAATAACTGATTTCAATGTGCTAATGTGAATTGAACTGCCTTACAATTTATTTTTTAATTTAAAAATTAGTTTTATGAATCAGAACATGCTATCTTCAGCACTGCGTGGTCCAGTGTCTTCCCATAAATCCCAGGACATATTTAATCTTCCTTTTTTTTTTAATGTTTCTGAGCATTTAGTATTCTACAATATATACCATAACACTAGCATTGAACTGTTAGTTTGTTGACTATATGATTATAGATTGCCCCTAGTACAGAGGGCTCAGTCTATATAGGAGAATTATTGGATCATATTAACCATAAACTCAGGATTTCATAGAAAGGGAACTTAATCTATATATGGCAGATCCTCAAACATTTTTGTCATGAATTAATTCATAAATGCTTGTGGGTATATTACTCATACAGGAGTTCACCATAGGAAAAAAACTGTATTCTTTTGGAGAAGATGATGAAGATAAGGTAAAGGTGAACATATTTAAGAATGAAGAACTTCTTTATCATGTCATTAAAGGAAGAGAAGTTTTTGCTAGGAGTAAGATATGTAAGAATGTTATTTAAAAAGAGAGAAAACCCTAGTGGGTTGACAACAGCTGCTTAGAGAAAACTTGATTATTGCATTGATCATTAAAAATAGAACATATCACTTGATAATGTTTTCTGGTTTTACAGATGAAAATAATCACGTGATAGTATATATCTTCCGAATTTTGATTGGAACTGGATCTGCAATTGTTCTTCTTTGTCTCTTGGGTTTTTGGGGCATTCACAATGAAATCAGATGTCTCCTTATTCTGGTATGTATTTTTCTTGAATAGCCTGGATTTTGAGTGTCAGTGTGAAACAAATGAACTGAATGATTTATATAACCATAACTTTATATTATTGTGTACCCATTCAGTAAAACAAATGAAACACTCCTTTCCAAGAAACTTCTAGATTTTTTTTTTCATGAATTTTCCATGAAGCAAATCTGAAACTCATCACTTACACTCTTCAATATTAATTTTCAACAGTAATATCCTAGGGTGAACTACAATTAACTGAACTTATTCTGAAGAGTAGAATCACAATGAAGTGTATTTAAAGTCATTGAGTAGTGCAGCTTAGCAAGGAAAAGGAAATATGTTCCACAGCCAGTGTATTTTCTCCCTGTAGTCATGCCATGTGGGAAGCTAACTCATAACTGAGATCACAATTCATTATTTCACAAAGTAAAATAAAACTGCTGAGAGGGCCAGACTTTGGCATCTGGCTAGCGCACTCTCTCTGCCTAGGCAGGTAACATGAAAAAATAAATTTTAATTAGAATTCTAGATCTGAATCTGAGCCATTGACCATACACCATGGCAGGTATAGATCACAATTCCCTCACTCAGATGAGATCTGACTTTTAAAAAATTCTTTAACTTGGATCAGTTTAAATCACATGTACTCTCATGAATAAAGAGTTTGCAAGTTTGGGCAATCTCTCTGGACATTAGAAATTTGGCATCATTTTCTCATCAGGATTCTGATTTGGGGTATGAAAACGAAGACTGAAATGATGCAGGAAAATTTAGATTTTCTGCTTGTCACAAATTTCCATTTAGGCAATGGAGACTCAGCACCTAATAGAATAAAATCCAGGATGGGAAATTGAAAGGGGAAACTACAAGGAGAAAAATATAAGAACCTTATAATTTCTGTCTCATATGATACAAGTATTAATATGTTCATGCTACTAAGACTTGACAGCTTAGATCTCAGCTTTAAGACACCGCTCTCCTTTCTAGACTCTCCATCAGTGTGGGTGCTGCTACTTTTTGCAGTCTTGACACTTTTGCTTTTTCTCTAAGACCTTACCAATATTTTTCTTTTAAGACATGTTTATTGACATATTTTTCCTTTAAGTTATGTATATTGACACAATCAAACTATGGGCAAATCTTATTGTCCTGCATGCTATAATGTGGCTTAAATGCTGTCTTGAAAATCCTATGGTAATAGAATATATACTAATTTTTGTAGTTTAACTCTTAGAGCAATTTTTATTTTCCTCTTTTAAAAGTTCTAGAGCTATATCTTTCTTTGCTATGTTCTATTAACATAAATGCAATAATTTTTCCTATTACTGTAAATATCTGTTAAGATCATTTTCAAAGGTAAAAATCATGATTCATTTATATGTAAATGAACATATGTCAAGGACTTTAAATAATTAATGAGGGAACGAGAAAGAATTACTGGTTGAAATGAGAATTAGATTTGTGATGATTTATATTCTCTATAGACTGTATTCATTTGCATTTCCATGAATAGGAATCATATGCATTGCTAATGACAGGAAAATGCTATGTTACTATTAGAATTTTGTTAAGTTAATATTGTAGGGCTGGTCTACCCAAAATATTTATAGATAAGCTTTTTCTAAGGTGTGCAAGTAGACTTTTTCTAATATGTGTCATCTTGGTATGTGTAACTAAAGTCAGTTAAGGCCCTATGAACCTTGGGAAAATTTGTCATTTATTTCAGAATGTCAATTACCTAAATTTAGGGATATCTCCAGAACTTACCTTTTTATCAGGAAAACAAACAAACAAACAAACACTATCTTAAGGGTGAACATCTAGAGGAAAGGCTTTGTCATATGAAGTTGCCCCCCCCTTTTTAGGGGAGGAGCCCCCTTCCTTCCCCTTGACACCCCAGACCCCTTAGCACAGGATATCAGCCCTCTGGCCTGTCCCATTTCCTTTAGATTTTCCACCATGTAAATTCTTCATATGTATCTAATTTGGCCTTTGTCTTTTATTTATCTGTCTGATGTTAATCTGTCTGCTCCTCCGGCCACAGAGCAACCAATTGGGGTGGGGGAATTGTTCTCTGTGCCATAGCTTTCACCACAGAGTTGAGTAATAGCTTAGTCAAAGGTAAAGACTTTTGTACCTCCCTTAGGATCAGAAGCTGAGAAGTCCATTAGATAACAAGCAGCTTGGCAGGGAAAAGAAACACAACAATTATTTTTATCATATTACACAATTTGTTCTGCCTCTGCCAATCTCTTATTAGTGAAGATTAAGTGAGAGATTATATGTGTAGCATTATAAATCTAAAGTTATAAACAGTCCTCAGGACCATATTTTTTCTGAAGTTTTTGTTTCTGAAAATAGAAAATACAATTTCTATCAAGGACACAATTTTTTGTTTATTTTAAAGTTATTAAAATATTTAACACTAAGTAATAATAATGAGTTATCTCATATTTTATTTGTAATATATTCAGGCTGTTCACTTTACAAATTATTATAGACTCTAAATGATACATATTAGTGTGCTGCTTTGATGAAGATGCAAGTGACCATATATTTTTAAATATTAAAATAGTCAAATAAATGTGAAAATCATAGTACTTGCCTGAGTAGAAGTATTTTCAGTTTTCAAAGAAAATATGCAAATATGTACAGACTTTACTTTTGCAGTTGTTAGTTTCTACTTTGTTTTTGTTACTTTGTGCATGATGGAATAATTTATATAGTGAATTAAAAATTTAGTATGTGCCCCCCCCTTTTTTTTAAACAGAATTCTGTGTTAATTGCTGGTTCAGATTATTGACTTTTCTCCTATGGCAGTTTCAGATCTAATGAAGAAGACATCATTAGCAACTTGTTCATTAGAACAGGTCATCTGTTAGAGTTCTCATGAAATATCATCACTTCTTTCTACATATTCTTATCCAAATGGTCACTGTATCTTTTCTATGCCTTTATAGATTCACTCTAATGTGAAGGAAGAAAAGTTGCATGGTGCCTATGGGTATTTTATATTGCACATTTTCTCATCATTGTAATATCTCAAAAACATATTAGATGTATATTTTCACCTATTTTCCTTTTATTTAGTATGCAGTTCTGTTATTGTGGGCCATTGGTGTTCAGGTTGTACTTTCAGCATTCATCTTCACAAAGAAAGAAGAGGTAAGGAAAGATTATCTTTCATTTGAAATCTAAAGAAAATGTGATGCCTTCAATCATTATGAGCTATAAGCATGTCTTTAAAGTCAAAGGCAACCCTCTCTGGATAATAAAAGAATTCAGTGGATGTTGGAGTAGTATCTGTTTCTTTTGCCATTTTATTGATTATTTGTGGAGCAATTTTGTTGCTGCTTTGTCTCATGCATTCTTGAGCTCTCAAATAATAATTTGGAGTGTAAATGAGGACATAAATCTCCCCACACCAATATAAGATAGAAAGATACCATTTTCTATTCTAAATAAAAATTTAATTTAGACAATAAGTAATAGATAAGTTACAATTCTAACTATACTTTGTAATACTCTAATCTTTTTAAAGGTGTTAAAACATAATTGTTAAAGTTTAACTTATATACATTGTATTGCTGTAGTATTTTCATTAGATATTTAAATTTTAATATTCAAAGAACTTGTATACATTATATTGCTATAAAGAGCACTATAACATAGTAAAAAAAAAATCCTTATACTAGAATTCAGATGAGTCATCTTTAAAAGTTCAATTCCTCCTCTTTATTAATGTCCAAGCATTATTAAATTCTGTTTTCTTATTAATAAAATGGGACTAGTAATCAATTCTCCATATATTTTGCTATTTTGGGGATCCAATTTGGGGATCCAAATTGAGAAGTTTATGAAGATCACATAAACTTCTGAATGCTTAAGTTACTGATACCTAGATTTTGAAATAGCATTTTCCCACCCCAGATGTGATCATTTAGTTTCAGTATTGTGGGATGATAATTTAAAAAAAAAAGTGAAGAATTGTAATTTTTGTAAAAATACACAATAGACCCAGGCCCGTGATTTTATTTACATCTTGATTAATCAACAAGATATAAAAGCCAATTCATAGGAGAATCCAGAGAAGACACTTGTAGGTTATAATTTAATAGATACAAAATAGGCTTAGAAGAAAGCAATCAATTTTACTCCCACCAAAATATTTATTTGCATAGCTCTGACAAAAAAATCATTTTTCCTATTGTTCTCTGCAGTTTATGTAGTGTAAAATAAGTTTTAAAAGTTACAAAGGATACAGAGGCACAGACCCCATTCAATCAGAAGATCCTGGATTCTGCTAAAGAAAAGATACTTTTCCATTAAAAAGATTCTCAATGAACTTTTGTTTTTTGGATCCATTTCAAAGTTTGGTTCAGATTATTGCTGGTTCAGATTATTTCACAATTTTTTCCTGAGGGCACAAGAAGAAATATAGAACCTGTAACATTCAGGATAATAATGTGCCCCTAATTATAAAATATGTCTAATATACCCCTATGCAAATCATAATGTGAAAGGCGCAGATGACTCAACACTCACTGAGATTTCTAAAAATAGTTATAAGGGAGATAAATAAACCACTTAACCATAAACAAATAGCAGCAAACAGATAACTTTGAATATTCTTTTTTGAAGAACTACTGGGAAAATTTCTATCAAATTTTCAAACATAAATTCAATTTCAACAGGTTCAGAAAATGTGGCATGACAAAATCGACTTAGTCATCTCTGAATATGGATCTAAAGACATGCCTGGAGACATATCCAAGTGGATTATTCTGAACACTTTACAGAAAACTGTAAGATAAAATTAGTATAAAACTAAAAATTCAATGCCAAAGGTGATTTCTATGTGGGGGAGAAAGGCAAGGACATCAGACAGATCAGAGAAATCTATATTTTCCAGACTAACTGGATGGTAGCGTATTGTCCTTGCTTATCAGATCTTGAGTGTGATTCTCCTCCTCTAACTTATATCTGCATTTCTGGGTGATTGATGTGCATTTTAATCTGTCTTCACATGTGCAGTGTGGGTTGTCTTCTGCCAAGTGGGGCCATCTGCCTGCTGCAACACGCGGAAACCAAGCCCAACCTAATGCTTGCTGGAAGCAGAGTGGCACTAGAGTCTGCATGTCAGGGTTGCACCTTAGTTGCTTTGGGACCCTGGGTGATTAACCTTCATAATTTCGGGTTCCACTTTCGTAAAATGGGTGAAATGAATTCTAACCTCTGGCTGGCAAAATGAATTCTAACCTCTGGTTGAAATGATATATAGACTGTATAGCAAAACTTGGATCTGGGATAGAGTGAACAAATAATAGCTGTTAAATAACATTATTAGAGTTATTATTTCACAGTTCATATTTTGCTGGCTAGGGAAAGGGTATTGTATTGTCAGTCAAATGGTTTACAGAAATAGGTCAGCACCTATACCAAAGTAAGTGTTTGATAAATAAACACTTTTATTAAGTGCCAGGCCCTCTTATAAATGCCTTGTATATGCTAATTCTCTTAATTATCCCAACTCAATAAGGTAAGAAGGTTCTTCCTCATTTTGTAGATGAAGGAAAGATAATTTTGTTAGTAGTACCACACTGAGAATTAGCAGCAGAGTCAAAATTCAACCCCTGATAGTACAGTGCTATGTTTTTTTTTTCTCTTAACTGCTACCCTAAGATTAACATCTCACTTTAATTCTGGAAAGTAGAAATGATCTTAAATCTCTTTATATGTATGGGTATATATAAACATAAATATTAAACAAAATAGGGCACATATCCTGCATTTAAAATATATATATATATATATATATTTGGGAAGAAGGTATGGCTGAGGTAGGTCTCTCTTTCATCTATGTTCTGATCATAAACATAATTTGTATCTTTCAAACATTAGATATATGTTCCATCCTAGGCTCATAGAGGATAAATTCATATATAACAATTTCATTTAAACATAATTCACTTATATCAGTACAGATATTTAGCTATGGTTAATGTCAACAATAGTTACAATGAAATAATGAAATGAGCAAAATATACTTAATGTACTTAGTTAATAATTGTTAGTTATTTAACACATTTCCATGGGGAGTCAATTATCTTCATCACAAAAACAAACTTAATGATCACAGGAATCATATAATTATCTACATTTATATTATTTTAGAGTAAAGCTCCTAAAATCTTTTTTTCTAGTTACAGTGCTGTGGCCAACACAATTTCACAGACTGGTTAAAGAATCAGAATAAAGACAATTCAGAACAAGTGCCGTGTTCTTGCACGAATTCCACATTGAAACAGTGGTTTTGTGATGCTCCTTTAAATGCAACTTACCTAGAGGTAAAGATAAGGCTTCTACATGTTTATAGTGCTTTTTTTTTTTTGTAAATCAAAAAATTGTAAGCAAATTTTTATATAAAAACAATGTTACTTGTGGTGATTACATTAAGATACTTCTCTAAATTGAACCTATAGTTAGGTGAATTGAAGTACTATTTCAGGTGTATAATAAATTAGTTAAACAAACCTTCTGGGAATATGTGGTCCAAGTAATTCCAGAAATTGGGATACTATCCATATTTATTCCCAAACCTCCTTCCCAAAATCTAGCAAAGAGGGGAAACACTTTTGGCAAAGCTCAGGGGCATAGGTTCAGTGAGGAAGCAGAAATACCAGAAGTAAAGAATTGTGATGCTTGGCAAGAACTGAAGGAGAATGACAGAGGTGGTGTTCAGGTAAATGTGCAGATGTCAGAGCAGAGGTTCTTCTGGAGCAGCTGCTGTTTATAGAGTGGTATATTGAAAAGAGGTTTTTAGCCCAAGAATATCTAACAATTTGTATAACATATACTGATGTTTTTCTAAGATGTATATTTTAATCACATCATTCACAGATATGAACTATATGTTACATCTATGAATTCACAGTTCACAGGTAGAATATTGTATTTATTAAAAAGTTCCTTCTACTTGGAAAATAATCATTTTAGGTGGTTTGTAGCCAGCCAAATTATTTAAATGAGACAGACTCCAGAAAGTCATTTGCCTACCAAAACTTAATAAAGTTCTGATTTTAATTATGTAACAGAATCTTGGCAATTTTAAAAGTAGCAACTGAGTTGTCCTACCTTCAGTTTGTAGTTAGATCTTGATTTTTCAACTTTGGTAAATTATAATCTCTATGTATTTTCTGCTTTGTATTAGAATCATGTATGTGAGCATTTCCAACTTAGGTGAATCTAAGTAACTCTTTCCCTTAGGGATGTGAAAAGAAGATCAACACATGGTATCTTGCGAATGCATTAACATTAATTGGAATTAATTTTGGACTGTTGGCTTCAGAGGTAAGCTGTTGTTCATATTTAAAGATAAAAAATATTCAGTATGAGCTATACAAAATAATCTGAAGAACAACCAGGCAGAGACCTAATGAAACAAATGTATCCAGTAAGAGCAAGGTCTTTGAGACTATTCACACCATAGAGAGCTGCAAGTCCTGGTTAAAAGTGATACTCTTAATCTGCCTACCTAGTTGGTAAAGAATTTGTTAATAAAAGGTCATTTTAGCAAATGGTGATTTTATTGCTTTGCAACATTAAAAAAGAAACAAATGATTCATTTCTTGTCAATAAGAGCACCATTTGGTCAGTCTGCAAGTTGACACATTCTAAAATACAATCAGATGTTTGACATTAGTAAATCCACTCACTCAGTACCCATCCACTCATTCATTCATTCATCTCAGTAAATCTGAAAAGGGGAAAACATTGACTATGTGTGATGCACTGTACGTGTTAGACTAGCCATACAATGGGAAACAAAATAGATAAACATGACTTACAGGATTCATTCTCTAGTCTTGGTGAGAACTGATGAAAGTAAGCAAAGGTTATGGATTCAAGAAGCTGTAAGAGTGGGTAGATTATATACACTTTGACATTGTCGATAGCATTGTAAACTATAAAAGTGGAATGAATACTTTATGCATATTTTGGCTGCAGTAGGATCCTGAATTTTTTTTTACATTAATCTATAAGGCACTGGCTTAAGGTCACATAAATTCTTCCAACTGGTATTAGTTTTTATCTTAGAATGGTAGTCAATCAAACATTCTTTTAAGTATTATTATTGTTCTCTGAAATGTTTATTCTCTGTTGATTTTATGCTGAAATGTTTAAGTCTGAAGGGGGTGTAATATCTCTGCTCCCTTTTATTATGTACCCGGTGGCAATTTTATAGAATTGATGATGTAGAATGACTAGCAAAAAACTTACCAGCAGTTCATTAAGGCATGTAGCCCAATCATAGTTCATGTAACTACAATGGAACAGTCTATTCATAGTCCCCTCTATAAATGAGCTTGGTGACATTTAGTTTGTTTTAGAGATCTCATTCTTAGATTTCTTATTCACAACCATCTATATTTTACTCTTAAATTTTCTCACTATTTGAGTACTCTTACCTGTACAATGTGCATATAATATATATTAACTTTGCAAAATATGTATAGGTTACATTTTGATTTCTTATGGTTTCTTTTCTTCCAGGTTTTGCAAGTTTCATTAACTATTTCTTTCTTCAGACATATCAAGAATAGAATACATGTAGAAAAGTGATCTTGAATTTTATCTGTCCGAAGAAACTACTTTCATCTCAAAATAATCTCATTGTATTATTTTATTCCCAAAAGTCTTGCAATTATATTATTTAAGTTTAGGACTTACTCAAGTTGGATTATATATAACATAGAAATATTGAATACAATAATAAATCACTCCATGAAAATTTTATTAATTTCATTTTCAAAATATGAAATCAGTTCAGTACTTTACCTTGATTAATATCTAAAGTCAAAGGTTATTGTCATGTAGTCTGAATTCAAAATGTGGTGAAGTTTCTTCACACGTTTTGAGTTTATGTTAGAAAATACATATATGATCAGAAAGTAAACAACTAGAAAATATGTCTTATATTTGCAAATCTTAATATCACTGATATATAGGATTGAAAATAAATATTAAAAATATGACACTGATGTCTGTACTGAATTAATATTGTATATATCTTCTGGTTATTCTCACAAATGAATAATAAACAAAATTTTAGAGATTCTGACATATATATGTGACAATAATAAAGCATTAGAAAACTGATTTTTAGCTGAAGGAAAAATACTCTAAAAAATCCCTGAATTTCTTAATTGTACTTCATATTCTTCTCTTTTTCCTTAAGTTTCCATCAATGAATGCATGCATGATTCTCTGAAGCATACAAAAATAACCTACCTGTCCTATTTTCCTAACAATTATATTTTGAGAACAGATATAAAAGTCTTTTGAAAAATAAAAAGTGCTATATAGATGTGAAGTGTTATATCATTGTCTCCCTTTATAGCAAAAGGCTGCCGTGAGTTTTGTGAAATGAAGAAAGGATAGATTAACTAAAGAGTCTGCATTGCTTCCTATAAAAGGCTCTTTCTCATTTACGAATTCATTCATATCTGTTTCATCTAGCTATTCAATACATTGAAGATTTCAGAGAACTGTGTATTTTTTTAAGTCAGCACAAAAGAAAATAGAACCATTTTTTTCTGAAGTGACCTGTAAATAGACATGCCCCCTATTCTTTAAGGAACATTCTACTGAGATTTAAAGCACATTTTCAATGTCTATTTTCTCTAAAATATGCTCCAACACACAAGTAGCTTCCACTTGGAAATTGAAACCCACCTTATTAGTTATCAAATATTATACATGATTTTATTATATGTATTCAGTTTTGCATCTAGAATACTAAAGAAAAAGACTCCCTAGATACTAGACTGTCTATTTTTCATTAATACAGGTAATTCACAAAATATATGCACTGACTAAATTTCACCTTTATGATTTTAGGGAATACTGTCTTGAAGAATGTTTCTTTATACCTTTAATGAGATGATAAAGTAAAATTGGTCATGTCCCTCTCCTTATTCTTGTTTATTTATTTTTTTTTAATTTGTATGATAGAAGACTTGGACAATTCTGAAAACCTACCTGTAAGTGAAATATTGCTATAGTGTGTAGGGTAACCTCTTATTTGATTTTCTCCCTCAAATTGTCATATTACTTAAATGTAACTTACCTCAGACTCACATTTGTTTCCAAAAATAAGAGATATTTTGTTATAATAAAGTAGGATACTTTCAAATTCTTTAAATAAGGATGCATGCTTTCTTTCAGAAATACATGCCGGATGACTGACTACACACCAGAATCATACATATGTAATTACTGAGATATGAAAATGAAAAGATAACATATATAGTTCCTCTTTTCAGCTGGCTGTACAAACGGTCTGTACTTAGAAGTGTCTCACACATAATAGTTGGCAGTTGCCATCTAAAATTATCATTAATTTTTAAATAAGGAATGTCACATTTATATTTTTCCACAGGCTCAGTAAATTCAGTAACTAGCACTGTCCTTGTAGTTAACTGAGTCAATGCAACCCAAACTTCTGAATCAAATTGTATATGTGATCATTTTTTCTGGACACTAAGAGAACACTGAAACTTGCTTTAAGGATCAGAAAACCTCAAAAAGGGGAGTCATTCTTTCAACATCTACTTATTGAACAACTACTATGTGTCAGGTGTAAAGTGCCAAAATAAAAATAGTGAATAAAAGAAAGCAAACATTGCCCTACTGGAGGTTATATTCAATCCAGGAAGCTAAACAACAAAACATGAAACCATTGTGTCATAGAGTGGGAAAGGCTACAGAGGAAAAAAAATAAGGATGTAAAATAGAGTACGGGGAAATTGGGGTTTTAGTTTTGAGTAGAATGCACACTAAGATCTCAATGAGAGAATGACTTCTGCATAATATCAGATGGTATAGGGGAACCAAATAAGAGATCAGGGAAAAAAATAATTATAAAAAAAAAAAACCCAATGCCATCTGTAAATCCGGGGAGGAGGAGGGAGAGGGATCAAAATGAGGGAGGGACGAGCATAAGGACCATGGTGATAGTGCATGGGTGACCTGGTGGGGACAATTTCTGAGGAGGGAAAGCATACATTGTATAAAAAAGGTAGAATGATGTAATATATAGACACACACACACACACACACACAGGTTTTTTTTTTTTTTTTTTTTTTTAAAGAATAACGTCTGAGTAAAGAAAATGAGATGAGGGGTCTTCCCTGGTGCTCAACGAGTTAAAGCACAGCACTTGCAAGCTAGTGGCAGCTGCTTCAGTGCCAATTCTATCACCAGGCCCCAGAGGTGACCTACATGCGCAGCAGACCTCTCCTGGAACTGCCCACTGCATACCTCAGCAATGTACTTTGTCAGTCTTTCTGTTCTGTTCCCCACTTTGTCTCTGGTGAATCCTCTCATTGTCCCTGCACCTCTGGCCTGCACCCCAGTTCTGTATGCATAAATAAATAAATCTTAAGAAAAAAGAGAGAGAGAGAGGATAAAGGGAAAGAACACAGCAAACAAAAGGAAAGAGCAGATAGGTAGCTAGAAAGGAACTAGAGCAAAAATGAATTGAAGGAAGTGTCCAGAAGCTAGTGTTACTAGAGTGGAGTGAAAGGGGTGACTGAGAGGCTGAGGAGGGATGTAGAAAAGTAGAAAGGAAGAAGAGATTTGTAGAAAGCTATAAGCTACATTGAGTGAAAACATTAATGGGAAGTAGTGAACAGAGCTTGTGTAAGTGACATTAGACTTATATGGGAGTATTCTCAGATGCCATGTTGCAAGTAGACTTAAAGGCACCAATGATGAAGCAGAGAGAACAGATTAGATTTTATATAATGAGATAGGAGGTGATGGTGGGTGTGGTCAGAGAGTTGAAGAGAAATTGGTGAGAAATGATCAGATTCTGTATATATTTGAAGGTGGGAGCACTAGAATTTGTCCAGAGCTTGAATGTAGAGATGTGACAGGAAAAGAAGAATTTGGAGACAGGGGTAACTGGACAGATGGAATTACCATTTATGGAATGGAAAAGACTAGATGAAGCAAGGTAAAGTTAATTTACCTTAATTTTCAATACTTTAAACATGTTACTGAAATGAGTAGTTGTGTTGTCTGCCCCCCTTAGTCTGCAAGAAGCTCAAAGCTAGGTTCACTTTGCATCATTGCAACTCCAAAGCCTTGCTCAGCACTTGACAACGTAGGTGGCCAACAGATGGTAATGAACTTAAATAAGTCAGATTGCTCAGTATGTCATCAGATAAAACCCAGTTGCCCTCTGAGGTTGTCTGACACTGATTGTACTCAATGGTTTTGATTTCATCGGGCTACCCTAGTCTGTTCAAACTTGTTTGGTAAATAATAGCTGCTAGTTCATTAGTCATTGCCGCCCACATCACTCCCCAGGAAATTGAAGGAGAGATGTGGGAAGAATTAAAACTTCTTTAAAAGGATTTCATTGAAAAATTGTTTTAAGAATACTACAATAGAGACTGTCAGATGGAAACTGCTTATTTAATGTTTGCAACATTTATTTAATATCTGCATACCTTTGTTACCTTTTTGTGATCTTCAGGGACTGAAAGGCTCCTGGCAAAAGGAAAACAGAAAAATTTGTTTCAGAGCTGTGAGATAGGGTGGCATCACCAATTTATTTTACATCACTTCTTGTGTGTTATTTTGAATCATTTCACTTTTCTTCTTTACTTCTTTTTTTTATTTTTGGAGGCACTCATTAGATGAAAGAAGATAATGGCACATTGCTAGTAAGTCTATAACTATGCAGCATTAAACAATAATGGATTTTAACACTACACAAATAATAAAACCAGGGGGAACAGAAACTACTGCTTGACAAATTAAATTATAGAGATTAAGTCTCATCTAGTATTCTGAATGCTTTGAAAAAAAATAAAATGGAAGTATTTCGCTACAGAAGCATTTATAATATGAAAACATAGTGTATTATCATATCAAAGCTTAATGCTAATTGCCTTCAAGTACAATAGATACTTTCCTGAATGTCCAAAAAGATGTATGACAAGGAACATGTAGAATTGGTGATTTCTGGAATTAATAGTTCACTGCCAATGTATACTTTAGGGAAAAAGGGGGAACAGATATTGGACAAGAGTTTTAAAAAATGCAAAAGTTTGTTTAAAATGTGTGTAGAAATAGTAATTAAAGTATCAGATGTAGTGGAATTAAGAACTATATGAAAACTATCAATCATTTCATGTGTTTCTAAGGTATAGAAACATTCAAGTGTGGCAAGTCAGATTTATAACACATTCCAATGTAAGCTGTTTTTATTCATTTATCTCACTTCATTTCACTCTAGGAAAATACTAATTTTTTTTTCACTTTGAAGAAATGTTATTACTACTAAAATTCCAGAAAAAAAAGCATTAGGAAAGACTTTAATAACCAGATTTAACAATAAAATCAGCAATATTCATTTGTATTTAGTGTATCCCTATGTAGTTTGTCTAGATATGTAGTAAATGGAAAATGGCTAGCATGTCAGAGATCACGAATTTAAATTAATTGAGAACATAAGAATTTCTTCTCTGCTAAAAACAACAGCAAGTTTTGAAAATTTAGAGAAGTTCTAAAAGAAAATTTGGCTACCAGTTCACTACCTCAAAAGGAA